ATTTTGATTATTTTTGTGGATTTGTTTAAATTAAATATTTTAAATACTACCATAATAAACTTCTCTATTAGTTCTCAGTTTTTTAAGTTCTTCCTCCTTACGTTCTTTCATTTTTCGTTTTGCTTCTTCTTCCGTAATATTGTCTTGTCCTGGTGGAGAACAAGAAGATAAATTAATAAAAATAAAAATTAATAATATAAAAACAAAAATAAATTTTGACATTATTTTGGTTGTTTAGAAGGTAAGAAAATTTTTTTTGAATATTTAATTGAAGGAAAAATTTTTTTTGAATGATTTCCCTATTTTCTATCAACTTTTATATTACAGGCACGCATATAGGCATATGCCCAGTCGAAAAGCGTGCGTCTTTAATTTTTAAATTAATTTTAAAGGGCATCCTTTGTCTTTAATTTTTCTTTTAGCTCTATTCTAAAAGATCCATTCCATCTAAAGATCCATTCCATTTATCTTTTCCTTTGTTTAAATTTTTATTAGAGAATTTTTTCGCGAGGATAGGGCCTCTTAATAAATTTTTTTACCATCGAAGGCAATAGAAAAAACCTTTCTTTGTTTATTTAAAAATTTTTTTTTAATTTAACGTCTCACATGTTTAAAAATTTTTCTAATATAATCTAAAACTCGAAAACTAACCGAATCGAAAAAAACGCAGCTCGAAAAATGCACCGAACGTCGGCTCGAACCGAAAACGGCAACCCTAGTAGTAATAATGATCTGATCTGGAGCAAAAACATTTTTTTCTTTACTGTTTTATTTTTTTCCTCATAAAGCAGAGAAGCGCTTCAAACTATAAATTAGAAATGAACACGATTATAATTTTTAAATTAGTTATACATACATATTACCTATTTTTAACAAAATTTTAAACCATTTATTTAATTATTTTAAATGCTAATTTTAATTTTCATGTTTTAACTCTACATGCAGCGCTAAAATAACATTTAAAAGCACATAAGTCCAAACAAAAGATTTTAGGAGAATCTGTAATTGAGTTGTATGCGCATATTAATGGCTTGCTATACAACTCGGGCCTATAGCAAATATTCGCTACTACAGGACAGGAACACAGTTTTCAGCTACAATCCAGAAAAAATCTAAAGGAATATTTTGCATTTTTAATAAAAATTTTTTGCGGGATGATAAAAAATAGAATTATTGACCAGAATTTGTATACTCCGCTAAAAATATGAACACATCTTACCCTTTAAACAAAACAATAGTAAAAGTCTCTGTAACTAAAAAAGATCTCTGTAACTTCTTTTGTTGCATAAGTCATAAAAAAGAGTTGAATTATATTATCTTCTATCTAACGCTATGGGCATCTATCGGCGGAAATCAGGGGATATAAAGGATATCAAATGATACTAAATATTTCGAATTTTATCTTTTATATAAAATTTCTTGTAACAGAATATCTTTGTCGTTTCTTTTAAATTTTAAAATCAAATATTTAAATCGAATCCTGTCTGGTTCTATTTTTGTAAACCTACCATATTATTAATTTTAGGATCTTCGAGGATTCGAGGATTTTAATCAAAAAGTTTTAGATAAAAAAAATTTATCCATAAACATATAACGCGTTGAAAAAAGGGGGTTGAGAGATTTAGTCCTGGTTTTAATTATGATAATGATGGTGGATTTTAATGAAACTAAGGGATTTTATAGCAAATGAACTGAGTATTTGGATAAAAGTAACCTGGATATAATAAATAAAAGTTTTTTTGAAAGAAAGTTTAAATAGAATGAAAATGTTTGTTAAAAAATAAACTTGCTTCAGAAAAAATAAACTTGAAACTTGAAATATACATGAAAATTAAACTTTAATAACTGTGAAATTTTTTTAAAGTTATAAAATTTTTAAGCTATAAAGACACTAAACATGAACATTATCTTACAAAAAAAATAAAAAAAAATTTTCAATTTATTAAAACGACAATAAAGTTTTTACATGAAAATTTCAGAAATGTTTGTTTTGTATAATAAATAGTATAAAAAAGGGCAACAGAATATCTGTTTGTTTTTTTTGAATTTTAAAATAAAATATTTACACTCCTTTTGCTCATCTCTTTCTTTATCAAAATTCAATGGTTAATTTTTCTTCTTTTTTGGATGTTGTACTGTATCTAAATATACCGTCCCACTTTTACGGACAGCTTCTGCCTTCTTTTTTGCATCATCTTAATTTAAATAAAAAAAATTATTAATTTTTTTAAAATAATTTTTATTACTTAATTTATTAAAAAAATTTTTTAATTTTAGAAATTAATTTTTTGGAAAATTTCAAGGTACATATTCTCATGGAGTATTGCCTGTATATGGCAATATTTTTTTAATTTAAGCTTTTTAACTTTATTTTTTATTAAATTTTATACTTTATTTTGATTATTTTTTTAAGTGTCTGTTTGAAATTAAATATTTTATGTAAATACTACCAAAATAGGCAGTTTTATCAGCGTTCAGTTTTTCACGTTCTTCCTTAGTAAATCCGTTTGCTTTTGATGAATAGGATGAATTAATAAAAATAAAAATTAATAATATAAAAATAAAAATAAATTTTGACATTTTTGGGTGTTTATAAAGTAAGAAAAATTTTTTTTGAAAATTTTAATTGAAGGGTAAAAACTTTTTGAATGATTTCCCCTTATTCTCTATCGACTTTTATATAAATTAATTCTTACTTTAATTTTAAAGGGCATCCTTTGTCTATAAATCTTTCTATTGTTGTCTCTTTTAAATTTTTTTCTTACCTTTATTCTAAAAGATCCATTCCATCTAAAGATCCATTCCATCTCCATTCCTTTGTTTGAATTTTTATTAGAGAATTTTTTCGCGAGTATAGGGCCTCTTAATAAATTTTTTACCATCGAAGGCAATAGACAAATCCTTTCTTTGTTTATTTAAAAAATTTTTTCTTATAATTTTACGTCTCACATGTTTAAAAATTTTTCTAATGTAATTTAATTTTTGCTATGAATTTTTCAACTCAATTTTAAAAATTAATTCGAATTTATTAAAAATTAAATTTAAATATTTCTCTTTGACACTACAAAAGTATGCCTAATTTTAAATAGAAAATTTTTGAATCTAGTTTTTCGATAGTAAGCATGGCGACTGGAGCAAAAACATTTTTATCTCTTTGCTATTTTAGTTTTTTTCCTCTTAGAGCAAAGAAGAAGCAACCAAATCATAAATTATACATGAAAGCGATTATAATTTTTAAAATAGTTATATTAAATATTTTTAAATAAATTTAAATCATTCATTTAATTATTTTAAATACTTATTTTAATTTTATAACATCATGTTTGAACTAGTGTTCGGCAAATAGGTTTTTTCGGTACCGGTACCGGTAGTACCGAATAGTACCGAAACCGAATTAGTACCGAAAATTCCAAAATCTTATCGGTACCGTACCGGTACCGGTAGTACCGAAAAGTACCGAAACCGAAAAGTACCGAAAATTCCAAAATCTTAGCCGTACCGTACCGGTACCGGTAGTACCGAAAAGTACCGATTCGGTACTTTCGGTAGTGCCGAACACTAGTTTGAACTTGCCGAACACTAGTTTGAACTTTACATGCAGCGGTAAAATAACAATTAAAAGCACATAAATCCAAACAAAATAAATGTTGGCCATTTGAATTCAACCATTTAGGAAACTGAAATTTAGTTGTGTGCGCATATTAATGGCCTACTATACAACTGTGGCCTATAGAAAATATTTTCTGCTACAGGACAGGAGCAGTTTTCAGCTACAATCCAGGAAAAATTTATAAATTAGTAATATTATTTTTAAATATGATATTATTTTTAATAAAAATTTTGTTTCGAAAATATGATAAAAAAATAGAATATTTGATCAAAAATAGAATGATTGACAAGAATTTGTTTAAAATTTGTTTGCTAAAAGATTATTATCTCACTTAGCACATATTTCTTGATGTAAAAAATTTTCGGCAAATCAAAAGTAAATAAAAACTTGGAATTAAATAAAATAAATATAAATATTATTTTAAATTTAATTAATCCTTGAGAAAAATTAATTGACAGATAGGTGTGTTAATATGATTAATGTATTAAAAGTTTAAATATATCCATTAACCTTAGGCAAATGAACTATTTATTTAATTTTTAAATGATAAAAGGATAAAAAATTTTTTATTGTCCGGGTCCCAAATCCGTGTGACCGGATTTTTTCCGGAACTGAAAAATCCGGAGAGACCTTTCTCCTTAAATAAACAAGCTATGAGGTAGATCAGGTCCTCAGGCTTGCCGAAGAATGATGTTACCGCTATGTTTTCACAGGAAATATAATATTACATTAATGATGAAATAATATAAGTTTTGGGCCTAACTCTATTTAATGGGAAGAAATGACTTTTCAAGAAGAATGCCAAATTTCTAATGTTATTAAAACTTTAAAAAAAAGGATTAAAGATACATCTTAGAGACTCCCGCAAATCTTTGTAAAAGTTACCACTAAGGTTGTTACTACCGGTTATTAACCGGTACCCCCGGTTTTATGTTAATCAGCTGCATTCGCTTAATCAAATAAACAATTTGCATATTCACTTGTAAATATAAAGTTGACCTTTTTCTAATATATGTTTTCGTTTTTGAGGTTTAGACATATAATCGGTTTTATTTTGGGGGAATTTTTAATAAAACCACTCATTTTCGCAAATTTTTGGTTTTATAAATTTTGTAAAAAAGGCTAATTTTTGGCAAAAAATCTAAAAAATTTCGGTTTTAAAACCGGTCGTGAACAACCCTTGTTATTAACTTTTGTGGGATCCCATAGAAGACGATTCTGTCGACCTCTAATTAAAACAATCTCTTACAAAAATAATTTAAACGAAAAATTTTTTTTCCCAAAATTTAATCAAAATAATCGCAAGTATTTACATGAAGTTTTAAAAATGTTTGTTTGTACAATTTAAAAGAGCAACAGTATATCTGTTTGTTTTTTCTTATAAACATCCCCTTCTTTTTACATCTTCTTCTTTTTATCCAAAGTAATTCGAAATTTCGAAAATTTCGAATTTTACTTTGTTGAAGAACCCCAAAAATTAGTATATGGATTTGCGGCCTGTTTCTTCTTTTCAATTTCACCAAGTTTTTTTATCATTTCTTAATTTAAAAGTTTTTTATTCATTTTTAAATTGAACTTTAAAAATTTAGAAATTACGTCCATAGTCTTCCCTAGTCGTAAAAATGGTTTCTTATGTATAAATTACTTATATTAGTCATTAAATGTCAGATAACAGATACCGAATCAGGATAACCGGACTTTTCCTGTTTGGATACAGGATTCGAATATCAGGGGGAATATACCATGAATCCAAGCAAGGAGGATTCTTATTTTGTATATTGGTTGAAAATTTATTGCGATCCCAAATGGAAGAGTTGAAAAATTTAATCCCAGTATCCAATAGAAGCTTAAAATAATATAAGCCCACTCAAAGTGTCTATTGAAGAATATAAACCCAGGACTCACTAACCATAATGCACTTGTTTTTTCTTAGCTTCTTTCTTAGCTCTAGCTTCTGCTTTTTCTTGCGGTGAATGATTTTTCCAAGAGCCTATGTAGGAAGAGTTGGGAGCACAAGACAAATTAATAAAAATAAAAACTAATAATACAAAAACAAAAATAAATTTTGCCATTTTTGGTTGTTTAGAAGTTAAGAAATTTTTTTGAAAATTTTAATTGAAGGAAAAAAACTTTTGAATGATTTCCCCTTATTTTCTATTGGCTTTTATATAAATTAAATTCAACGGGAATACATGCCTGTCGACTTATGCCCGCCTATTAGCGTAAGTCTAATGTTTAAATTTATTAGAAAGGGCATCCTTTGTCTTTAAATTTTTCCATTGTTGTCTAAAAAATTTTTCCTTAGCCCTCTGAATGTCTATCCCTTTCATTGTTTAAATTTTTAATAGAGGATTTTTTTATTAGAGGGTAGGGCCTCTAAATTAAATTTTTTTACCATCGAGGGCAATAGACAATTCCATTCTCTTTGTCTATTAAAAAATTTTACTTCCTATAATTTAATCGTTAATTTATTTACTATAATTTATTTTACCCTATGGATTTTTCAAGTCGATTTTAAAAATTGAAAATTAATTTGAATTTATTAAAAATTAAATTAAATTTAAATATTCCTCTATAAATTATTAAAATTTAAAGGAAATACCGAAGTTTTCCCCAGCGGTGTCCTCTTAGTTTTTTCTCCTCGGTCTCTTGGTTTTCAAAATTTATTTTTATTTTATAAATAATTTTTATACAACAAAAATGAGTATATAAAAGTAAAGCACTTTTCCATTACAATAATAGTTGAATAAAATACATATACACTGGTATTTTGTCCCACCGGTATCAGTGGAAAATAAAAAATTTTAACAAACGCCACAGGACATTTGACAATTTGAGAGCATATATGACTAAAAATTTTAAATAATACAGTATACCATTTAGTAAGGAGAGAAAATCTCTATAAAGGCTTATTATTAGAGAGGGTTGATCTAATAGAGAGGTTATTAAAAGAGGGTTACTATTAGAGAGGAGTGTTTTAAAAGAGATAGGTTAATAATAAGGCTTACTATTAGAGAGTGGGTTTTCTAATGGAGAGATTTTATTAAAAGAGGCTTACTATTAGAGAGGGGTGTTCTAATAGAGAGAGGTTATTAAAAGAGGGTTACTCTTAGAGAGTGGGTGTTATAATAGAGAGAGGTTATTAAAAGAGGGTTACTATTAGAGAGGAGTGTTTTAAAAGAGAGAGGTTAATCTCTTGGCCTCTTGGTTTTACTATTAGAGAGTGGGTGTTCTAATAGTAGAACAAGTTCTAATAGAGGCTTACTATTAGAGAGGGGTGTTCTAATAGAGAGAGGTTATTAAAAGAGGGTTACTCTTAGAGAGTGGGTGTTATAATAGAGAGAGGTTATTAAAAAAGGGTTACTATTAGAGAGGGGTGTTCTAATAAAGAGAGGTTATTAAAAGAGGGTTACTATTAGAGAGGAGTGTTTTAAAAGAGAGAGGTTAATCTCTTGGCCTCTTGGTTTTACTATTAGAGAGTGGGTGTTCTAATAGTAGAACAAGTTCTAATAGAGGCTTACTATTAGAGAGGGGTGTTATAATAGAGAGAGGTTATTAAAAGAGGGTTACTATTAGAGAGGAGTGTTTTAAAAGAGAGGTTAATCTCTTGGCCTCTTGGTTTTACTATTAGAGAGTGGGTGTTCTAATAGTAGAACAAGTTCTAATAGAGGCTTACTATTAGAGAGGGGTGTTCTAATAGAGAGAGGTTATTAAAAGAGGGTTACTCTTAGAGAGTGGGTGTTATAATAGAGAGAGGTTATTAAAAAAGGGTTACTATTAGAGAGGGGTGTTCTAATAAAGAGAGGTTATTAAAAGAGGGTTACTATTAGAGAGGAGTGTTTTAAAAGAGAGAGGTTAATCTCTTGGCCTCTTGGTTTTACTATTAGAGAGTGGGTGTTCTAATAGTAGAACAAGTTCTAATAGAGGCTTACTATTAGAGAGGGGTGTTCTAATAGAGAGAGGTTAATTTTTTTTTGTCTATAAAGGGCCTTTAATTAGAGAGCGATTAATCAAAATAAAAATTTACTTGAAAAATGTAGAGATCACACATTCCACTACTTGCCCAACGTGAACACCAAGCTTTACTGTCCTTTAAAATTTTCAAAAATATTTTTAAATTTCCACAAAATATATTTATACATTACAATCAGTATTATTATTGGAAGGACAACTATTACAGCTTTTTGGACAATTAGCTTGCAAAAATGAAGAACTGAACATTGAATTACAGGTGTCTGTTTAAAGATTAAGTTAAATTAGAGGCGCTAAAATCTTTTTCAAAATTTTGAACGAGAAGGGGATGTCGTTTCTCTCCGTTATCACATTTACCGGGATCTAGCGAGATTCCAGAATTTTCCCATAAAAATTTTTACGTAATAAATATCGGGGATATGAGAGGATTTAAAGTGAGCAAGGTAATTAGAAAGGAGCTTGAGTGATATTTGGAAGGATACATTCGGGAGATTAAGAGGAATATAAGGGATTTGGAGGGATATTAAGTGATTAGGGAGGATTTGGAGGGATATCGGGGGACTAAAGAGGAATTGAAGTGGTACCGGCTAATTAAGGACCATTTGGAGGGATATCGGGGAATATGAGAGGATTTGGAGAGGTATCGTAGGACTAAGGAGGATACGAGGGAGATAGGTGATTGAGGAGGATTTTAAGGCATATCGAGGGTCTAGGGAGGATTTGGAGTGATACCGGGTCATTAAGGATATGGAAGGATATCGTGTGATTCTTAATCACTTAATATCCCCCCCCCCCCCCCCCCAACCCTTTTTATTTTCCAAATCCTAATTTATCTTAACAGGGATATCGGAAGAATTTTTCCAATCTATTTCAAAATGTTAAAAACTTCAATATCCACCTTTATTAGCTATATATGGACATTCATTCAACAAATCTATACATTTACTATTACTTGAAGCAACACTTCCAGAAGTGGAAACAACCGAAATAGGTACAGGTAATTGTGCCTGTTTTTGTTGTTGAGAAGTCTGCTGTTGTTGTGGATTAGTGTTTGCTTTAAAAAAATTTTTTTGTTAATTTAAATTAATTTTCATACAATTTGGACAATTATAGAGCTTATTGACTTTGTATAAATCTGTCGGACTAAATCCTAAACGTTGACCGATAGTTACACTTTTCTCTTTTGGTTCGATTGTTGGTTTACCATTTTTACTGAATGCCTTTAAATAAAAATTATTTTTAATTTAAAAATTATTTTTAATTACTAAAGGTCCATAATGCATTACAGAAGAATAATCATCTTTAAATTAAAAATATTTCTTCAAAAATTTAATTTTTATTTACTAACATCTAGTCCCCAAATAGTCAATCATATTTTGAGAGTATTTGTCGAATTGATCTATAATTAAATTTTATTATTTTCCGGAAAGTTTAATTTATAATTTATTCCTACCTTTCCGGAAAAGTTATAATAATTTTAAACATTTTCCGGAAAGTTCTACTATTTCCGGAATATTTTTCTATATTATTTTACCGGATATATTATTTTTTAAATTATTTCTCCGGAAAGTTTATAATTTCATAGTTATTCCTTTCCGGAAATAATTTATAAAATTCTCCTTTCCGGAAAGTTCCCATAATTTTCTAAACATCTTCCGGAAAGTTTTACTATTTCCGGATTATTTCTTTGTTATTATTATTTTTCCGGACATAATATATTTTATTTTATAAATTATTTCCTGAAAGGTTATATTCTAATAAATTAATACTCTTCCGGAAAAATATTTTCTTTTTAAATATTATTATTATATTAATACTATATTTTTAATTAATCAGATAATTTTTTACCTCTTAAGGTTGGGTCAATATTGTCCCAAAGTATATTAACATAATCATCACGATCTGTCCTACCTTGAGATTATTAAAAAAATTTTTTAAATTAAGAAATTTTTTAAAATTTTACTTTGTTCATGGAAAAACCCAACAGAATGCCTGTTAAAAATTAATTTTTTTAATTATTAAAAAAATTTTTAATATTTATTTAAAAAATTAATTTAATAACCTACATTAACTCGTGAATACTACAAAATAAAAAAATTAATTTAGAATTAAAATATTTTTAAAATTATTACACAATTCCTATGGTCATGCAACCTTCACCTAGACTGACCTAAAAAATTATTTTTATTTAAAATAAAGAACAAAAACATACAGGCTGTTTTCCACCTAAAAATAATTTTAATTAAATTTAAATTAAAAATTTTATTAAAAATATTACCAACTTTTCCCACCAAAGAATAGCAACCATCATCCGGTAAAATGTGTACCTTTAAAAAATATTTAAAAAATATTTTTTAAAAATATTTAAATTTATTAACATAGTCAATATCATTCGCCGCCTTAGGTGTCCATTCAACACAAGTCTTCTTGTGATATTCGTCAATTGCTTCAGCAATACGTTCACGACTTGAAATTTCCCAAAAATTAGTGTTTATAAGACAATATTTTTTAATTCTTATTTTCCGGAAAAACAATTTTTCACCTAAATATTCCGGAAAACGTTAATTAAATGTATTCTCCGGAACATTATAGATATATAAAATTATTATTTTTTCCGGAATTATTTTCCGGAATTACTGATTACAATTAACAATAAAGTTTTCCGAAAAATATTACTTAGGTACTTATCTAAATATTCCGGAAGGCATTATAGAACAGCATTATATGTGCATCTTCCGGAACATTATATTTACGATCTGAAAATTATTTTCCGGAAAGTTTATCCGGAATATAAAAAATTTCAGTTTAATAATTCAATCAATCAAAGAATAACATTCAAAACTTACCCATAACTTGTATATTGACTACTAACTGTATACGGTATCCGAGCTCGCGGCCATTTCAAATAAGATTGTCTTACCTATTGTTAAAATTTTTTTAAATTTATAAAAAATATTTTACAGCATTCCTTTGTAGTCCATCTTGCGTTTTAACCGCAGAATCCTCATTTACCGTGTTTTTTAAAGGGAGGGAAGCTGCAGGGTTTACCGCAGTCACTATAAAATATTTTAAAATTTATAAAAAAATTTTCCAAAAAATTATTTTTACAAATATCCCCTTCAAATCTTTCTTTATTATACATGGCAGAATCGTTTATATTATTTGGGTTTGTATCGGTAGGTTGTTGTCTTTTCTGTCTTTGGGTGACTCTATGAAAGTCTGCTTGGGTGAGGAGTGTTTCTGCATCTGGGATGGATTTGTCGAAAAACTTTAAAATTTATTTTTTAATTTTTTAATTAAAAAATTACTTGATTATTAGCCTCATTAAAATTAATACAAATTATTAACAAAATAAATTTGAAGAAAAAATTAAAATTAATTTGGTGTGAAACTAATTGAACTACAATTATTTGGAAGGTACTTAATGCCATATACTAGCAGCTTGAATTAATTTAAATGCAGAAATTGAGAAGAGAACAAAAATATAATTGAAAGAACATTAAATAATTTAAATACTAAATTTATTAAAGATTATCCGGAAAAGTTTCCGGAAAGATGCTATAAAAACTGTTATTATTGAAAACTATTCCGGAAAGGTGTATATAATTTTTAAATAGGTATATAAACTTTCCGGAAAAGTATATATAATTTTTAGACGTATAAACTTTCCGGAAAGGTATATGTATAATTTTTATAGATATATTGGTGATTTTTACCAGATATTATATTTACCAGATATTTACCAGATCTACTCGTTTGTGACCAAAATGCGTCATATCGTTTCAAAAAAATTTTGAGTGTGGCGATTAGCTATATTAGAAGGGAATATAACAAAGTAGGGACCTAAAGGCAAGCCTATCTCACCGCCAATCAACGAAACAAAAATCACAAAAATGTCCGCCACGGGGAATTTTTTTCAGAGAAGGATTAACAATTTAATAGACACAAAACAAGGCCGTTTAATAAAAAGAGGAGAGAAAGTTTTTAAAAAAATATTTTTTTTTTGCTCTGAAAAAATATTTTGAAGGGATTTATTTTAATAAATAGAGAAAGGAACTCTGAAAATAAGGGAAAATAATTTGGATTTGAAGAGATTTGGATTATCACATTATTTAATAAATATTTGAACGGAAATAGGCGCACGCTTTGAAAAGCTTTTGCCCTTAATAAAAAATATTTTTTTTTAATTTTAATAAAAACTTACTAAGAGAATATTAAAAATATAAAAATATATTTAATTAGGTATCTATTTAGAGATGGAGAGATAAAAGATTATGGGGGAGTGTATTTTTCCGGAAAGAAATTAAAATAGTTAAATGAGAGAATAATTTTCTAGAAAGTAGTATATTCCGGAAAGTAATAAAAAAATAATACTTCCGGATATTGCTAGTCAATTCCGGAAGACATAAATATAGCAAATTAAACGATAAGCATAATTTTCCGGAAAGTAGTACATTCCGGAAAGAATATATTTATAGTTTTTGTTTATTTCCGGAAAGATTCTACAATTTATTTGTATAGTTATACAACTTCCGGAAAGTTACTTCTTTTTCCTGTAGTTATGCAGTTGTATAGGATTCCTATTTTTAAACTAATAATGTAACTGTACATACATTTGCATAACAATAAAAATTCTTTTATTTGTATATTCTTTATTTAAACTTTAATAAAAATTATAGGTATTATTTTTAGCCTTACTAAGGAAATAAATAACAATGATGATAAATAATAGAAAATTATTTTGAAAGGAAAAATAAAAATAACAATGTCAAAAATAATTTTATTCGTGATCCTCTTAAAATTCCCCGTTAAATAAATAAATATTGTTTTAATCATTAAAATATAAAAAAAGTTACAAAAATATTTTTAGAAAAGACAATAAAATTTGAAAAAATTTTTTTTATTAAGGGAGTGACCAAAAATATTTTTTTGGTGATTTTATATTTAAATCTGTTTGGTGATTGCTCATCTTTTTATTACTGCAAAAATTATGTTTTTAAATCTAGTACAAGTTTAGTGATGAGTAATTGAGAGAAAGTATGGAAATTATTTTAATACTGAGATGAAAAATAATTTTTCTTTAATTTTAGGGAGTTTCATGGAGAATTCCAAATATTTTTAAGAGGAGGCTTAAATAACAACAAAAAATAAAAAATTGGAAAATCCACATGAATATTCTTCAGACTTTACATATTTCAAATAGTCTATTTAAATTTTTATCTCTAATATATTTTTTAAAATTATTAAATTTTGGCTATACGATATAAATTAAGAGGAACAAAAAATTTAAATAACAATATTAATTAACATTAATTTCTAGAATTTATTTTGAGTTCGAAATCTGGATTTGTTGTTCATATTATATGTAAATGTACCTCGTACCACATCCTATTTCTATTTTTTCTCAAACCCCGTACCAGTGCTGTGTTTTGGGCATTTGTTGGCTCAAGCTTTATCTCCGTCATTTTTCGAATTCTTGGCACCGGCTCTGGAGCCGGGCTAGCTCCCTGAGCCATACACGTACCAAGGTATGTTTAGGTATGTTTTTAATTTTAGTACGACCTAGTAAGCATTAAAGGAAGCATGATTTTGATTATACTCGACCATTACTATTTAATTTTGCCAACTACTAATATCCTCATTTCTTTTTTAATTTTCCCATCCCTTAAAACAGATAAAAACTTTTACTTTTTTTTGTTAGGCTTTTTATCCTTTCTTCTTTTTTAGTATTAAATTGAAACTGTGTGACAACACACATTCATACACTTTTCTTTCTTTCATTTCTATATTTTTTTATATTTTTTTTTGTGGCAGCCGCCCTTTTAGCAAATGTGGCATTCCAATCTCACGCATACACTATACTAGTAAAAATATTTTGTTTGGTTGGTAACACATTCCAAACAAATTAATATACACATATTTTTGTTTTCTAATCTTGTATTAATTATTTGTTATATTTAAATTAATTTTTTAATTAATTTTAAAGTCAAATTTTATTCTTTTATGATCTTAATTTATTGAATTTTTCTATGATTGATTTTAAAATATAAAAACTTTTCCTACAAGATCCAGTGCGGAAGGTCGTGAATTATAGTAGCTGTTTTTATTACGCTACCGTATAAACTGTATTAATTCCCTTCCTCAAGTATTTACCCCACTTCCATTAATTACTCCATCCAGTGATAGATTGAAACTAGAGGTCGGAATTTTGAAAAAACCGGGTCCGGGTTCCGGGAAACGGGTTCTGAAGGTTGACCGGGAGGGACCCGGACCGGGAATTCCCGTTCCCGGTTTCATCCCGGTTGCTTCAAAAAAACCGGGAAAAGGGACCCGAAAACCGGGAAACGGGTCCCGGACCCGTTCCGACCTCTAATTGAAACAATAGATACCCCAAAACAAATGCCCTAAAACACGTTCAAATTTTTCAAACCTTGTATAATTATTCTCCCTCGATTGAATACTCCCTCTAGTGGAAGGTAAAAACAATAATTACCCCGGGTAGTTATTAAAGGATGTCCATAACTTGTGGTTAATTTCAATACACCTTCCTCGAAGTTATTCCAATTTCAAAGAATTATTTTTATTCAGGAAGGTTAATCACGAAAATAAATTCGTGAAAAATATTGCGTTAATTATAAGCAAAATAATTAAATAAAATGTAATTTAACGTAAACGCTCTAATTAAAGCCCGGCTCTATTAGAAGCCCATATTTAATACAAGCTCTCACAAATAGGCCTATCCTCCTTTTTCTCTCAAGGAGGCGGCCCATCCTACTTTAATTTAAGCTTACTAAGAGTGACTTTAATTAGGAGCATTCAATTTATTTTTTAAATTTATTTTCTAAATTTTTCCTACTAAAATCCCAATAATTTTTTTCAACATTTCCCTACTTATTAGCCAAAGATTTTCCTTCCTTTCAACTTTTATTTTTAATAAAATTTTATTTTTTTTTTATTTTTTTCAAAAAATTAAATCGTATTATTTTCTTCGTAATGTCAAAGTGTTTCCTTAGTAATGCACTACTTTTTGCTTTATCTTTTACTTAAAAAATTTTTTTTATCTGTTTACTCTTTAAAAGAAAAATTTTGTCTTTTTTGTGCCGCGCGTACTGCCATTTATTTATTCCCTAGTTCATAAGACTTCTCTAATTGTTCTCAAATTTAAAAGTCTTTTTAAGTAGTAAGCTTATCTTTGCATTCTGGCGTAAATGTTTGCTTTTACTTTTCTTTTAAAGAAAATATTTTTATTTTTAAAATTTGCGGATAAATTTTAAAAATTGCAGAAAATACAAATAATGGGTTGTCAGATAAACAATGAGCCCTTTTCACATTTTTAGTCTTTGTTTATGTATAGGTATTCGAATTTTAGTTAAAATTATTTTACATTTACTTGAGTTGATAGTTCACGATTTTTTCTACTATTCTAAACCATTTAAAAAATTAATTTTGATTTTTGCAATTTTTTAAAAATTTTTTAAAATTATGTCCTCAAAGTCTGAAATTTGGACTGTTATTTTGTATTGCTTCAAACTCGGTCTAGTTACAACTCAATCAAAAAATGAAAATGCCGCCTTGAAGGCACAAGTTGGGCATCTTTTGCAATAATTATGCGATGTTATAAAAAATTCAGTGATGGAGATATGGGCCTAGATGCCAAAAACCCCAAATTTAGCCTGATTTCTTGATAACAAATCTGCCACTAGATTTTATCAAAGGGGAATTAAAAAACCTTCAAGCATGTGGCAAGATGTGATAGATAATAATGGACATTAGATTGTTTCTTAATTTCATTTTATTATGTAGTTATAGTAAATTGTTTTAATTATGTGCAAAGGGCTCATTATTTATCTGACAACTCATTAAATAAATTTAATTTTAATTCTGATATTTAATTCTGATATTTATTTTTATATGTTTATTCTGTTATTTTAATTCTGATTACACTTATAAACTTAAGTTTAAGTTTATTATTAAAAAGCATTACCACAGAAATAAAACTTGAGAACTTAAACTTAAGTTTATAAATAAAATCAGAATTAAACTTTACAAGAATTATAAAACCTGAAAACAGAAGATGTATATTTGAATTAAAATTCTGATTTTTAAACTAATTTAATTGTTTATATTCTGATATTTCTGATATTTTAATTCTGATATTTTGAATTTAAGTTTAAACTTAAAAAATCAGAAACTTAATTTAAATATATTCTGTTTTCAAGTTTTATAATTCTGGTCAAGTTTAATTCTGATTTTAATTATAAACTTAAGTTTTTAAGTTTTAGTTCTTGCTTAAGTTTATTAATTTGAAATCAGAATCTGAAATTAAGGCCTGAACTTAAGTTTACAATTAAACTTTTTTAATTCTGAATTTTAAATTAAAATAAATAAATAAATAAATTCTGTTATTGCTTGTGAGTCAACTTTATAATTTAATTTAATAAATTCTGATTTAATTCTGAATTGCTTATTTTGCCACACATAATTTAAATCTCCCTATAAATTTACAAATAAATTTATCCGCAAATAAAATCCGCAATGTTTATTTCTTTTTCCTTCCCACGCTTTACTTCCTCTTTTTTTGGTTCTTTTTTCATTTTCACTTTTACTTAATTTTTTGCTTTTCCTCCCTATATTTTCTTTTTATTTTTAAAAAATTTTTTCTTATTTTTCTTTTGTTGAGTATTCTTTTAGCTTAATATGTATAATTAATATATAATTAATTTTCTTTCTTTATTTTTTTGGTATAAAAATTATATTTACTTTATTTACTTAATTCCTAAATATTTTACACAAACTTTTTGTCTTTTTATTTTTAAAAATAAAAAATTTTTATTTTCTAATATATGACCGAAAATCCGGATTTAATTAAAAAATATTTACTTATTTTTTAATCCCTTTGAGGATTATTTAATTTTAAATTATTATTTTTATTCTGAATTTGGATTTATTTATATATTAAATTTACATTATTCTTCTTTAAAAAATTTTTTTTATTTCCTAAAAGAAAATTAAAATTAAATCGAAGCCAATATTTTTAAAAGAATTCTCTCCTTCTTCAAAGAATTCCCTTCCAAATTAATAAAAAATGAATTAAAAAAATAAAAAAAAAGCCTATAAAACCCCTTCCAACCAATTTTTATTAGATATATATTTCAAGAAAATTTTTCTCATTTTTATTCCAAATTGGTTAGTATTTCTAAGAAAATTTATGGGTCTTTTTACTGATGATTTTTTTCTTTTTTTTTTCTTCCATTTTTTCATTTTTTCTTATCCACTTTCCTTTTTTCATTCAATTTTCTTCCAAAAAATTTTCGTGTTCAATAGGACAACAATACATGCTTGCCTTCTTCCAAAAAGCCTTTGCCTTATTAAAAAAATTTATTTCACTGGTCTAACATTCATGCATAACATAAAAGCACAAAAATGAATGTGTGCTATGAGGGAGGATAAAAAATATAATAAGCATTAGAAAAATGAAATTTATTTAAATATAAAATGCTTAAAAATACAATAAAAATTTAATTTAATAAAAATTAAGTTAAATAATTTTATTTATTTCTGAAATTTAGATACCGTATAACCTGTATTAATTGCCCTCCCTCAAATAATTACCCCACTTCTATTAATTACCCCCTCCGGCGATAGTTTGAAACAATAATTACCCCCGAACAAATGCCCTAAAACACGTACAAATTTCAAACCTCGTATAATTACCCTCCCTCGATTAATTACTCCCTCCAGCGGAAGGTCGAAACAATAATTACCCATGGTAGTTATTACAGGATATACGGTATCAGGGAATCGCGTCGACAGAAATCAAATTCCCTATTTTCGTGAATTCACGAGACAAAAAACGTCAGAATTCACGATTTTCGGGAATTGTAAATCAGTTCGGCGCGATCCCTGTTAGGTATGATACTATATTATTTCTTTCCGGAAATATTTTTATATTCCTTATTAAATTTATATAAACATTCCGGAAAGTTATTTTTATTCAAGAAATTCCGGAAGCTTATTTTTAAAAAATAATTTCGGAAAATAAAAACCGGAAAATTTCTTCCGGAAAATCACTTTAATTATAACTATAAATTTTCCGGAAGTGTATAATATAAACTTTCCGAAAATATTTTTTGTTAAATTTGTTCGAACTTGCCGGAAAGTTTATTTTGATTCCGGAAAATACAAGCAAAATTAATTTCCGGAAGGTTTAGTTACAGAAAATAATGAAAGAGAAATAGAATTATAAAACCGGGTAACTTTTATACTTCCGGAAAATATACCTATTTTTATTAGTTTTGTTAATTTCTTCCGGAAAATATATTTATTTTCCATAATTTTTGCATAATAATGTATTAACGCCCACAGAATAATTAATATTTATTTTTTGCACCCTTCTATTTTCCTTGTTATTTTTATTTTTTCTTCCCAGTTTCCGGTCTACCCCTTTACACTTCTGTTCCGTTTTATGTATTTCCTTTTTGCGTCAATCGCGCGTCATTTACACCCTTCCCTCGTTGAGTGTCACACAAATTGCCTTATTTAGTAAAAGAAAATTCTAAAATATTTTCAAAATAATTTTTAGCAGAAAAACAACAAATAAAAATAAAAAAAGGTCAAAATTCTTAATTTACATTATCTTTGAATATTTTAACAATTATTTCAAATATTCCAACAATTATTTTTTAATTACTCTTTTTTATTTAATTTTATGATAAAACTGAAGAAACAATATAAAAATAAAATAATTATTTTTATCATTAATGACGATAATTAAATTATTTTTTCAACTCTCCTCTCTTTAAAAAATTTAAAAAAAAATTTAAAAAATGTCAGAATGGAAGAGGAAAACCAGCAGTAGTTCGGCTACTTCAGTCGGTCGAATTCAAACCTGGGCTCGTGGTCAGATTAACAGAGCAGCGGGGTATATCAGACAAGTTTCAAGAGACTTTGCTGCTTCGTTTGATGAGGAGGAGGAAAATGCTGGAAGGGTGCGGGAGCGGCGAGAAATGTTTGTGCTATAAAAAATTTTTTAATTAATTAAATTTTTCTATGAGAATAATGAATAAAAAATGTTAAAAAATAAAAAAAGGAAAAATTTTTTTTCAGTGTTCAGGCTTCCGATGGACACTTCTTCGAACGCCTCACAGTGGGGGATGATGTAGATTTGTCGGCTATTTTGCCCAGTAAATACATAGAAGCAAATAATGCTGAACTCTTAATTGACACTAAAAAGCCGATTAAAAACAGTATTACTAGCAGTAAACAGTTGACTGAACGCTTTGGGCAGTTCTCTCTGCGGCCCCCGTCAAAAGATGTAGAACAACAAAAGAAGCATATGAATGTAATATTAGTCTATATTTATTAAAAGGAAATAAAACTTTCCGGAACGTGAAATAGTTTCCGGAAATTGAATATAATTAATATAATTTTCTTGGGAATATAATTAAAAGATTCCGGAATAGAATAAAAAAAGTTTCCGGAAAATTATTAGAAGAAAATAATCCCTGGAAAATAATTATGTTTCCGGAATTTATATAAATAGAAGTTTCCGGAAAATTATTAGAGGAATATAATCCCTGGTAAATAATTATTTTTCCGGAATTTATATAGGTAAATAGAAGTTTCCGGAAAATGGAATACTTTACTCAAATGAAGATGTAAATTTCCGGAAAATATAATAGTTTCCGGAATTGTTTCCGGAAAATCTACTAAAAGAAAATATTTAATATTATAGTTTCCGAAATGAAATTAAGATATTTCCGGAAAATGTGTTCAGGAAATTTAAAAATAAAATATTTTATAAGGATCTTTATCTGGAAACAGTTTACACCATTCTCCATCGAATTGGAAAGAAGGAAAGTTCAGTTTCCGTTGGTAGTGTTGGAGGAGTTTCAGGCGAAGAACAATTACTTCAATATGCAAAATCAGCATTTCAAATAGACGAAAAAACACACAAAGCTTTAGTTGAGAAGGCTCTTAGCGAAAAACCACCGATTTTGCTTTTGAATGTTTTGCTTTTGGAAGCAAGGGATTTGATAGCTAAAGACATGTACGTTATTTTTTAATAATAAATCACGAGGAAATTTTAAATTAAAAATTAATATTCAAGTGACGGCTTCTCAGACCCCTTTGTTATGTTGGGAGTAATACCATCATCGTCCAAAGGTGGAGAAGATGAACAACACGAAGCTACAAATGCTACAGGCGGCTCTCAAGTCAGTCAATTTTATTTGTAATAAATTTTATTCCAATGCAGCAAACGTTAGTATGCGAATAATCCTGCTGGCCTTTTTTATAACAAATCTATTATGTCCAATTTCTCCTTCTACAGTAACCCATTTTTAAAATAGACCTCTCTACTTTATACATATTGCTATTCTGAATATGAAAACTTTTTAGGACTCACCTGAAGAAGAACAAAATAACAACAACTCATCAGGAAAACCTCCCCAGCATCGCAGAGTACTCCAAAGGCTTAGTGGTTCATTCCGTCGTAAAGCCTTCCCTGGAGCTTCTAGAAGAGAAAAGTTGGAAGCAGCATTTGAACAGACTGGTGATGGGATACCTGCACGTATAATAAAAGCATCCTCTGTCCAGAAGAAGACACTCAATCCAAAATGGAACGAAAAGTTTCAATTTGTAGTGGGTGATTGTACTGATCGATTCCATTTGGATATATGGTTTTAAATTAATTTCCAGAAGCAAAAATAAACTTAAAAATACTAGGGACCATGATGATGAGAATCGAAGTGTATTGGACGTTGTTTCTTCCCTCAACCAAGTTCAAGGCCTCAAAGGATTAGGGCGTTACTTTAAAGAAGTAACACAAAGTGCTAGAGCTAGTTCCGGTGGTGGAGGTTGTGCTGGGGGTGATGGACTTGTTGATGATTTTCTTGGTTCTCTTACTTTTTCTCTGGGAGAGATTCCTTCTACTGGAGTTGAGCAATGGTTTAATTTGGAGAAGAGATCTGAAAAGTCTGAAGTTTCTGGTCAGATTAGGCTGAAAATGTGGTTAAGGTAGTTGAGGATAATAAATTATTTTTGTTTTTCGGAATGTTATAGTATTTCCGAAATTTTTTGTATAAGTTTATATTTACTTTTAGACTAATTAAACATTTTTCGGAATGTTATATTTCCGGAATTCTGTACATATTAATTTATAGTTGTGAAAAATATTTCCGGAAACTATAAGCGAATGTTTTCCGGAAATTCTATTACATATTATTATATTTCCGGAAAGTGTTATATTTTCCGGAAGGTTTACAATATTACCTATATTATTTACTTCTTTTCCCTTTCAGTACTCGAGAAGAACACCGTTTATCAAGCACAGAGGAACAACGAAACGACGATTTTATTTTTCTAGATGATGATGCTGATGGTTTAGTAGATGTCCAACAACACAAAGACCTTTTAAGGCAATTTGCACTTTATGAGATTGGAAGGAAGGGAGATCCTGTTTGTGCATTCAGGGGCCAATTGCCAGATTTGGCTTTACTTATATTACACCAACACGCAATACAGAGTGATCTGACTGAATTACACCAGATGATGTGGTTGGGAAATTTAAAAAAATTTTAAATTGGAAAAATTTTATAATCCCTTCAGTCAATGGTTGGCCTATATACAAATGATTGGAATGGGTATTTCCTTTGAACTAATCTATGAAACATTTTCGAAGCTCGTTGGTAAATGGAAACCTATGGAACTTGATAAGGCAATTTTGAGGAATTATTCTAAAAATAAAATAATTCATATAAAATTATATTCCGTAAAGTTTCCGGATAGTTTTACATTAATTTCTAAATATTCTCTTTCCGGAAAGTTTAAAATTATTTTTAAATATTTTTCGGAAATTAATATTTCTCAGCATATTATTTCCGGAAAGAGTAGTATGTTTAATCTTGTGAATTATTTCCGGAAAGTTTGTTTTCCTTTAAATTAAATATTAATTTTCCGGAAACTCATATAAATTAGGGTTGGTGGCGACCGGTTAATTTTTTCCTGTGACCGCACAAATAGAGAAGAAAAAGAGCGTTTAAGTCACCACTGGGAAGAATAAGACCGGCCGCCAGCAACACTAATGTAAATTTATATTAATTCTAAGTATAACATCTATAACAGGATGAAGAATACGTTCTTGCCGATTCTTTACTTCAATTCAGCGAATTTTGTCGTTCTGCAATTCTAAGGCATCGGCTAAGGATTAGAGTGCGTTCTGGCTCTAGGCGCAGATCTCCCTCACCTAAGCGTTCAGAGCTCGAATCTTTTGGTGAAATGCTTAAATGTTACAGGTCTTCCCCCTCCCTTTGTCAATGAAATACTTTCCTAATTTGTAGATTAGTTCGAGAAAGCCCAGTTTTTGCTCACTTAGTTCCATATCAAACACATTTTCGTACTGAAATGAGAGAACTTATGGTTGGATAATTCAAATTAAATATTAAAAAAAATTTTTTTCTATAGGAAAAAAGTGCTAATCTTCATTTTAATGCAATTTTATTAAATATTGAGGAAATTAATAAAATTGAAAATAATTCTAAAAATAAGGAGAATAATGCCATTAATAGGCTTTATTTATTAATTCATTCCCTTAATACTACGTTAGAAAGAAGCTCAAAATTTGAGGATATTTTTAAACAAGAAATGTCTGAAATTGTAAATTATGCTGATATTGGTTATTGTACTTTTGATTTATTGGTGGGTTTAATTCAGTAGATGTGTATAATTATAGCCAATATTTTTATATTTTCCGGAAAAGTTTTATTTCCTGGCTATTTATTCCTAACCTTCCGGAAAGTTTATAACGATTATTAATCCATATTCCGGAAAGTTTTATTTCCGACCACTTATTATTTTTTTCCGGAAAGTTATACTAAAAATAGTAATATTATTTTCCGGCAAGTTATATTTTCTATTCATTATTTGCTTTCCGAAAAGTTTACAATATTTAATATTCCGGAAAAGTTTTAATTTATTCTTCTACTCTATTATTCTATTTCCGGAAAACTTCTAATTTATATTCCGGAAAGTTATAATTTCCTGACTTATCTGTTATTTTTTTTCTGGAAAATTATTATTATATTCCATCTGTATAATTATGAGGTATTAATACATATTTCCAGTTACACGAACATATCATAAGCGAACTAATGTCTGAAGGCTGTTCTGATTTACGTGCCATAACTCAACTTTGTCACCACGAAGAAAACAGTAATAATATTGAAGATGAACAACAGATACTTTTGCCTATTTTACTCGTTCATTTGGCTTTGAATGAATTTTCCGGATACAGAAATATTTTAATGACGGGGACCACTGGGCATTTTCAATATCGAATGGAGCAGCTGGATTGGTCAGCACATTTTGATAGGGCAATACAAAGATGGTTGGAATTTGCACAAGGTGTGTGGAGTGGAAAAAATTTTTCTTAACAAATAAAATTAGTTCACGCATTCTCTCGACTTGATCTTTCCCTCAATTTGGATTGTCAAAGCCCTATAATTCTTATAAACAACGATATTAGACAAACAGTATCAGCTATGGATGCTTGCCATATTCTGGAGCAATTGCTTTTTATATGGGAACGATTGAGGGTAAATTAATTAACTTAAAATTAATTAAGAGTTTCCGGAAATTTTCAAAATTATTTTACTAGGCTTACATTTTTAATAAATGTTAGTCATGTTAGTTCTTCCGGAAAATAATTCTCAAAATTCTATTAATATAATTTTCCGGAAACATCTATTAAAAATAACAAATGTTTCCGGAAGTAAAATATTATTCCTTTCTTTCCGGATTCATTTATTTCTCATTTCCGGAAAAGTTTTAATTTACCTACATGCTAATTATAGTTTTTCCGGAAAATAATTTGTATAAACTCTATTAGTATATTTTTCCGGAAACATTATTTTGTATAATTATATTTTTTCCGGAAAAGTTTATTTGACATTTCCGGAAGAAGTTTATCTCCGGAAAATCCTCTTATTTTCTTAAAACCTTACAATACACCTAAGTTTTCAGGTTGAAAATACGCAACTACGTGCTTCTTTAACAATTAGGCGTGTTATTAGATTAAGTAAAGAAATTTTTTTACTTTTTTAAAGATTAACTCGTTTACTCTGTAAAATATCCAAACACTTTACTGACCAAATTATTATGCGCCGCCCCTTCGATTTTGGCAATTTAAACAAACAACAAAATATTGTAGAACAATTAACTAGCGAACAAATTGATCATTTTACTGCGTTAGTTAATAGTTGTGAACAAGTAAGGCGTTGTTTGGCATGCGCGGATAGGCTTAAACTTGATGAGATTGAAGGAGATGGGTGTTATGATAATGTAAATATTTTTGTTGAAAATTTATAATCAATAAATTTGATTTTTTGTAAGCTAGAATTTTTAAAAATCAGAATTTCTGAAATTTTAAAATCAGAATTTCTGAAAAGTGAAAATCAGAATTTCTGAAAGTTTTGAACCAGAATATTCAGTATTTCTGGAATTTAGAATCAGAATTTTTGAAAATTTAGAATTAGAATTTTCAGAATTTCTGGAAATTTTGAATCAGAACAATCCTAATTTCTGAAATTTTTTGAATCAGAATTTCTGAATTTTAAAGAGATCAGAATTTCTGAATTCTGAAATTTTTGAATCAGAATTTCTCAAATTTTTTCTGAAATTCTGATTTTTGGAAGTCGAATTTTTAAATCAGAACCAGAATTTCTAAAATCCCTTCCATTTTATTAATTTTAGGAGCGTTCTTCAATGCGTGCCCATATCGAACAACAATTAGATAATTGTAGTCAAAACATTGTGGAGCAAATTGAATCTTTAATAGGCTAGTTCATCTTCTTAATATTTCGCTATTTATAAAATTAATTTTTAAGATCAATTTGTACGTAGACAAATAGCCAAATACAAAAAAGTAAAAAAAATTTTTAATTAAAATTAAATTAGCTAATTTAAAAAGGCAATTTTTCATCTTGTTTGGAGTCCATCAGCTTGTCCAACAGATGACTGCCTTAAACCTTTAATTAAATTGTTGGATGGAGAATTGTCTATTGTTCATCGTTGCCTTTTACATAGAAATGTAAAATTGGAAAAAATTTTTTAAATTTTGATTTTTTAAATAAAAAATCAGAATAATTAAGAAAAATCAGAATAAGAGGAATAGCAGAGAATTAAAAAATCAGAATTTTCAGGTCAAAAATTCTGATTTTAATCTTTTAAAGATCAGCATAATTCTGATTTTCGAGAAATTAAAATCAGAATTATTCTGATATTTGAAAATTAAAATCAGAAGTTTCCGTTATGAAAATAAGAATAATTCTGATTTTCGAGCAATTAAAATCAGAATTATTAAGACATAAAAATCAGAATTATTCTGATTTTTGAAACTTAGAATCAGAAGTTTCAATCACGAAAATAAGAATAATTCTGATTTTAATCAGAATTGAAATCAGAATTTTAAAGTATAAAAATCAGAATAATTCTGATATTTTTCTGATATTAATTCTGATTTTAATTTTGATAATAATTCTGATTTTCTTTTTTTTAAAGCAGAAATTCTGATTTATCCCCAGAATTTCTGATTTCTTAAAATCTTCAAAATATTCTGATTTTTTCAGAATTTTCTTTAAACATTTTGACATTTTATTTTCTTTTTCCACAGTTTACACGTGTAATGTATTCACAAGTTCATTTACTGCTCAAACTCTTCCAAGAATGCGTTAATGAAAATATCGGACAAGAACCTGTATTTTACCGTCGTTTAACTGATGCACTTGCTATTTTATTAGATTTTTTTCATGCTGATGGAAAAGTAAAAAAAATTTTTTTTTAATTTTTTAAAAATATTTAAAGGGAATTTCTGTTGAATCATTCGCTCAATCACTCGATTACAGACAATTTCATGAACAAATATCTATCTATCAAATGTCTACAGAAAACTTGATAGAATTGTATTATAGTGAATTAATTAAAGCACAAGAAGAAGTAAATATTAAAATTAAATAAAAATAAGGGTCAATGCTTCTTTAATTATACTTTCCGGAAGCTATAATGTTTCCGGAAAGTTATATTACTTATAATTTTATTCTGTTCATTTTCCGGAAGCTATAATGTTTCCGGAAAATATAGTTGAAGTCTATGTAATTATTAATATTTGTTTTCCGGAAAGTTTATTTTACTTATAATTTTATACTGTTTATTTTCCGGAAGCTATAATGTTTCCGGAAAATATATTTGAACTATATAAATAACATAATATTTGTTTTCCGGAAGGTTTATTTTACTTATAATTTTATATTACTCTTCCGGAAAATATAATTTAATTCATCAATTCTCTATGTACGGAGACGAATTATATTTCCGGAAAGTTGTGGTGAATACACAATTTTCCGGAATTTTTTCCAGAAATGTTTTCGAAAATGTGGCTGAAAACAAATTTAAAAATCTTCCTTTTTTCAATTAAACTGACGTTTTCTGTCATAACTTTGGAAATACTAAACCTAAAATTCTGAAATTTTCAGATTTGTTAGATGACACTATTGGGAATAACTCCTAAAAATTTTAGCATTTTATCTTTTCTATAGGCAAAGTTATAAATTCTGATCTTTCTTTGTCCTAAGCTTCCTACCCTACTCAAATTTTAATTTTTTCCTTTTTTTTTATTTCAAAAAAATTTTTTAGGTAACAGAATGTAAATATGGAATACTTAATTTACGTGCTTATTTTAATCCAAATTCTCAACTTTTAGTAATTGAAGTTTTAAGTGCCAAACAAATAATTCCATTAGATTCTAATGGTTTAAGTGACCCGTATGTTGTTATTGAATTATTACCTAAAGTGCACTTTCCTGATATTAATAATGCAAAAACTAAGGTGATTTGAAAAAATAATATTTTTAGGTTTAAAAAAATAATTATTTTCTAAGGTTGTCAGTTCTTGCCTAAATCCAGTTTTTGGAGAAACCTTTGAATTGTTAGTTTAATAATTCTTTTAAATAAATTTTTATTTTTTTGTGAGGAGGAAAAAAATTATTTTTCTGTCCAATCCAGTTTGTGAGGAGGAAAAATTATTTTTTGTCCAATCCGGATTTATTTTTTTGATTATTGGAAAATTTTTTTTAATATTTTTGAATCTTCTTAAAATGACCAGAAATTAATTTAGAATTTTTTTTTCAAAATTTTCCTAAGTTCATGAGAGAGAAAAAATTATTAAAAAATAATAAGAATTAATTTTTTAAATTAAATTTAATTTTTTAAAGCAATGTTCCATCATTTTTACCCCCTTGTGCACTTGCCCATTTTGTTATTATGGACCATGATTTTCTTAAAGTAAAAAAATAATTTTATTAAAAAATAAAAAAATTATTTTTTAGTCTAATGATTTTGCTGGTGAAGCATTTCTCGATTTAAGACAAGTCCCGGGTTTTGCTACAGATAAAATATCATCAAGTGGTCAATCAAATTTAAACAATCGAAATGAACAAATAAATAGAAATACTAGACAAATTAAAGTAATAAATATTTTAAAATGTGTTTTCTGGAAACTAATGTAAAAAATAATTTTATTAAAAAAAATTCCGGAAAATATAAGTTAACTCCTAATATTTGTTTTCCGAAAATTATATTTAAATTAACTTGAGCGTATATTACTTTTCATGAAATTTTAAAATGTATTTTCCGGAACGTTTATATTTTCCGGAAACTATAATGTTTCCGGAAATATTTATTTTAATTTTATATAATTATTAATATTTTTCCGGAAAGTTTATTGTTTTCCGGAACTTTTATTAAAATATACCTGAGCTTATACTTTTCAGGAAATTTTTTAATATATTTTCCGGAAAGTTTATAGTTTCCGGAAACTACATACATATGTTTCCGGAATGTTTATTTAATTTTATATAACTCCTAATATTTGTTTTCAGGAGTTTATTCAATTTTACTTGGGCTTATACTTTCCGGAAATTTTTGTTTATTATATTTCTCGTATTTTAGGCTACTTAACTATAAACCCAAATTTAATTAAATTTTGAAATTTCCAAAAAACTAGCTTATTTTTAATATCTAAAAAATTAAGGCTAACAATTCATCTTCTGTTAACAACCCCCTTTCACGTACTGGAAGCACTCTCCCTTTACAATTCAATTTGGTACTAACCCATCCTTCTTCTAGAGGTTTTATTTAATTTTTACAAAATTATTTTTATTTTCCAGTAACTAATCCAACAATTATGGCTGTATTAGCTTCTAGAAAAGAGGATAAGGAAGCTGACGAATTTATTCGTTCTCTATCTGCTACTTATTAAAATATTTTATTTTGCCAAATTTTTTATTTTTGCTTGATTTTACGGAAAGAAAATTATAATTTTATTTACGGCAAATGGTTTATATTAGTATAACTTCCGGAAAGTTATTGACCTTACCAGAAAGTTATACTCTTTCCGGAAAGTTATATTATTAGGGGAATTTTTAGTTTATTTCCGAAAAGTTATATTGTGAATTCCTGAAAGCATATAATACAATTTCCGGAGTTTTTATATTATTCCGATAGTTATTCTTTCCGGTAAGTTCTATTTCTTCCGGAAACTTTTACTTCATTTCCGGAAACTATAAAGTAATATAACTTCCGGAAAGCTGTGTTTTTTCCGGAATATTATATTTTTATTTCCGGAAAGTCATACATATTTTAAAAAATACAAACTAGTCAAATAATTAATTAGAAAAATATAATATTGAGCATCCATACTTCTATTTAATTATAATTTTATTTTTTAAAAATAATGTATAAAATTTTATTTTATTAAAAATCAATAAATAAACAATTTTTTCTAATCAAAATAAATTTTCAAAAAAATTTTTTTAAATTTATTTCTTTAAATTCCTCTTCTCATTCGCCTTCTTCATACAATCCTGCAATAATTTAACTTCTGATTGACACGCTCTCCAATCCCTTTTATCAGCCACACATTCAGACAAAGTTAAATGAGTCTCCCAACATCCATTTGCCCGTAACGATTTTTCTACCAAATCAATTTCTTCTGAATTTGTTGTTTCTGCTAAATTTGTTGATGAATTTTGAGAAGTTTTTGATGTTTGTGTTGACATTTTTAATTGAAAATTAGAATTAAAATTTTGCAAAATAAACTATTCTTAATGAAAAAGATTTTTTAGTAAGGCATAAACTTAAGTACAGGGTGCGGGGGGCAATTTGCCCCCTTATGTACAGGGGGCAAATTGGCGGCCGCTTTTCTTTTGGCTATAACTTTCTTCATTTTTAATGAAAACCGATAATTCTTTTTTTGCTGGATTCCTGACACTCTAAGAATTTTTGTGATAGCAAAATCGCCTCTAAATTTGATAATTTAGTCTGATTAATAATCTCTCAAATTTTAGGTTAAATTTTTTGAATAAAAGCTGGCCTAGATTCAAGGCCATTAATTTGATATGAGAAATTTATATATCATTCGAATCAGCTCTCGGATATACTTTAGCCGGTGGCCCACTCAGAAACGGGACAATTTATATACCATTCGATTCGTCTCGGCGAGCTGAGTCGAATGGTACTATTCTTTTTTTGCGGAAATGCCTACGAGCCGAGATATAGGTCCTTGAAAACCGAAAAACCATAGGAGGGAGTAAGCACAATTTTGTGATGAAAAATTCGATTTTTTAAATGATAGCTCATTCGAAAGAGCTCTTCGAGCTGAGTCGAATAACACCAAAATCAACGAAATCCGACTTGATTGGACCGAGATATAGACCCCTAAATACCGAAGATCCAAAGGGGCGATTATTGGAATTGAAAATTTTTTAACCATATTATAACTCATTTGAAAGAGCTCGTCGAGCTGAGTCGAATGACATCAAAATCAGCTTGATTGTAAAAGTTTGGACAAAGTTACAATAGAAAAACTAAAACCTAAACCTATGGGGCGTAGGCGAGGCGCTTGCGCAAAACCCCGCGCTTCGCGCGGGGTTTTGCGGCACGCGCCTCGCGGGGAGTCTACGGGCGCTGAGTCTGGGCTCGTAACATAAACTTATGCCTATTTTAGCTGCGGTCGGCATGTCTGGCTTCCTCCCGAGCAACAAAAACCTGCACGTATACCAAAGGTAAGGAGCTAAAACTAATGCTCATAACTTTGTCAAATCAAGTCGGATTTCGCTGATTTTGGTGTCATTCGACTCAGCTCGAGGAGCTCTTTCGAATGAGCTATCATTTCCATATTTGAATTTTTCACCCCAAAATTGTGCTTACTCCCCTCTATGGTTTTTCGGTTTTCAAGGACCTATATCTCGGCTCGTAGGCATTTCCGCAAAAAAAGAATAGTACCATTCGACTCAGCTCGCCGAGACGAATCGAATGGTATATAATTTGTCCCGTTTCTGAGTGGGCCACCGGCTAAAGTACAGCCCAGCTCTCCAATCTGATTCGAAAACACCAAAATCAGGTGTCTATACCGTAAATGGACCGAGATATGGCTTACTGAATGATTTATTAAAATAATTTTGGCAAATACAAAATTTTTGGATAAAATTTTCAAAGATGAGATTATAAGCTATTTCGATGCGCCTGAACAATACGAGTCGATTGATACTAAAATCATCGGGATTGAATCATTTTTGACGAAGTTATGATCAATTAAAATTTGACCAGAAAAAATGTTTTTTGATGCTTTTAAATGTTTGGACCGGCTTATCTTTACCATACTTGTACCAAATTTCTATTTTTTGGCACCAAAAAAATTCTTAGAGTGTTGGTAATCCAGTAAAAAAAGAATTAACGATTTTCATTAAGAATTAAAAAAGTTATAGCAAAAAGAAAAGCGGCCGCCAATTTGCCACACCCTGTACTTATAAATAACTACTTTCCGGAAAATTCTTTTAAGTTATTTAATTTTACCGTTAATTTTTCCGGAAAATATAAAGTTTCCGGAAAATGAACTTAATTGAAGTACTTTATTACATTATTTATTTTCCGGAAAATATAATGTCTCCGGAAAGTTTACTTTGTTTATATTATGTATTTTCCGGAAAGCTATATTATTTCCGGAAAGTTTCTAGTAAATAAACAGTACATAGTAAAATGTAAAAACATAAAAAACATTTAACAAACAATATTAAAAACATGATGAAACAAAGGCAAGTAAACGAGAGGAATAAATCGATCTTTTATGTGTACGTGCGGCTCCCCTACAAAGGATAGATGAATTAAAGGATAGATGCGCTAAAGGATAGATACGGCCAAAAACTATCAAAGGATAGATGCATCAAAGGATAGATGCACTAAAGGATAGATACGGCCAAAAGCGATCAAAGGATAGACAGCTGAATAGGTCGTTTGAGTCTGGACAAAAATGTTTAATAATCTGAATCTTCGCTGGAAAAACTGTTTTTGTGCTGCTACGGAGGGTAGGCCGGGCATGGTCTTCGCTACACGATGGCCGTGCTTCGCTGCGGTCGTGCTCGCTTCGCTCGCGGCGACCGTAGCGAAGCGGCGGCCGTCGTTCCGCTCGACATGCCCGGCTTCATCCGCAGCGGCAAAAACTTTTTTCCGCGAATATACTAAAGTACAAATAAAATAAAAATCAGAACAGAAACATGAAATCAGAACAAAGATCTGAAAAAAACAAACAAAGGTCAGGCACTCAACAGTTGGTACTCAACTGGACTCCAAACTTTATCTATGTTTTACCCAATTTTAGACGTGTCTATACTTTAATGGATTCTACCCCTATCTATCCTTTGGCGCATCTATCCTTTGATGCATCTATCCTTTAATCGTTTTTTACCTTATCTATCCTTTAGCAGCTTTTGGCCGCGTCTATCCTTTGATCGATTTTAGCCGTATCTATCCTTTGATTCATCTATCCTTTGAGCGGGCACGGTACGTGCTCGCCCTCCCTTCCTACAACTAATTTTCTGCCATTAAAGTATACTATGAAAATGCTTATGTTAGTACTGATATTAGTAGTATACTTATCCAGTTTTCCCAAAAATGTCGAAAATATTCTTAATTTTAAGGCCAAAATGATAAAATATATTTTAAGTCTTTAATTAAAAAAATAAAATTTAAGATTGTAAATTTGGAAATTTGAAAATTGTAAATTTGCTCCGCTTTTTAATGTAAATTTGGAAGTTATAACAACAATACTTTTAGTAATTCTTTATATTTTTTCAGGAATAAATGGTTACTATTTATTTTTCCGTTTCTGTGCCTTTCCCGGTTTTGGATGACCAATTTGTTTTTGTAACAGGGTCAAGTAAAAAACTTGGCTATTGGAAGGCTAATAAAGCCTTAAAATTGAAGAAGGACAAAGACGAGTATTTTTTAATTAAAATAAATTAATTAAAAATTTTTAAAGTCGTTGGGTTGGAATTGCTTATTTGTATGAGCCAATAAATTTTATTTATTTTATTGGACATTATATTAAATCTGAAAAGGAAAATGAAAAAGTTTTGGCCATATTTCAATGGGAAACATTAGTAAAACCTGTAAGTTTATATTCCGGAAAATAAAAATATTCCGGAAAATTAATCTAATCACTATGTGATTATTATATCCCTGAAAGTTTAATTAGGTAATTTATTAGGGGGAGAAGATAACTTTTTAACGGTTAATATTATATTCCGGAAAATAAAGTTTCCGGAAAGATTTAATTTAAGACGATTATTAGATACCGGAAAATATATGATTTTATAATATTAATATATTCCGGAAAATAAAAGTATTCCGGAAAGTTAATTTCTATATAAATATTATATTCCAGAAAATATCATGTTTCCGGAAAATTTATTGAATTTTTATACTAAAACTATTTAATTTCATAAATATTCCGGAGAATTGAGGTAGGTTAAGTATACTTTCCGGAAAGTTTATTTAATTTCTATATGATTATTATATTCCGGAAAATATATTTCCGGAAAAAATAAATCTTTAATAATTACATTTATTATTCTCCAATATTTGGAGAATATATTTTCCGGAAAGTTATTTAATTATAGACTATTCCGGAAGCTATTTAATTATAGTCAATTAATATTTATATCCCGAAATGTTTCCGAAAAATAATAATTATTATTCTTTAATAATTAAAACATTTGTTATTCCCTAAATTTTATAAAAAATTTCAAATAATTTAGCGTAGTTTGGAATTTAACGATGTTTTCTGCTACAGACGTGTCAAGTTGCGTGATGTTTTTGGTGAGGAAGGGGAGGATTTAAATTACAATTCCGGTGGAGATATGAACCAAGTTGCGTTGAGGGTGCCTGGTGATTCGTTAAAATTGTGTAGGAAAAGGAAACTTGAGGATTATGGGGTTGAACGACTCGATTTGGATCAGAAAAAGGTTTGATAATTTTATGATTTTATGTGATAGATAATTCCATGCGTGACTATTTAACATTTTTATTTTATTAAAAATTATCATGTCATTTTTCCGATATATCCTAGCTTTATTTATTCTATAATTTCTGGAAAGTATTAAAATATTTCTTCATCTTTTCCGGAATACTTTTCTGATGTTTTTCCATAAAATTTTAATTTTTCCCTTTTTCTTCCTAAAAGTTTTAACTTTTTTTATAAATATTCCTTTAAATTCTAGAAAAAATCAAAATCCACAAGAATGGTAACCCATGAACAACTTCGCGAAAAAGATGATATTATTAGAGACAGAGATGTTCAAATTAATAAATTACAAATGAGAGTTAATTTTCTTGAACAAGAAAACCGTCGATTAGAAAATGATAAACGTGTTTGGCAACGTTTTGCAGAAAAATGTCTGAATATAGCAGATCAAGCTATGCAGCGTGTACCTCGACAAAGTGTGTATTTTGATAATTTATTTTGTTAATATTTTTAAATATTCTCTTTCTTTTAATTACTGTTACGACCCGAAGTGTCCGAGATTTAACTAATGTCGACGAGCACAATAATAACACTTTATCCGACGTAGAAATAAACAATGTGTGGGCGAAGGGAATGGAACAGACGAAGGAGATCAGTGACTAACCCCGCTAGTATGATCCGACTAGACTGACGCTTATACTGGCTTTTATACTAAACACTTTAAGGGCTGTCGCCCATACACAACAATTACAATACTCAGTTCGTTTTTATCTCTTCCGTTTTTAGATAATCCTCAACGACCTCAACCAAATATGGCTAATGTTTTTGATGTAAGAATTTTTCTTTTTAATATAATATTTTTCCTGATTAAAATTTTTAGCCGGCTAATGACTTTCAAACTGCTGGTTATGGTTATGGCAATGTAAATTTTAAAATTAATACATATATTCTGATTTTATTAGAAGTCTTGGAGTTTTTTGGGGAGGGGGGGTGTTTTTTTAATAAAAATATGCTCTAAGTCTTGAATTTTGCATTAAAAATTTAAATTGACGCCTAGAACGTCTTGTCCAAAATCAAAATAATATATAAATTTTTATCAGCAGCCGCCTCAAGAATTGCCTCATCAACCGAATCATCCACTGCCTCAGCATTTTCCTCTTAATTATAACATGCAACAACCCACTACATATGAGCACTTATAGACAGCATAATCGAAGTAAAAAAATTTTTTTTGAATTTAAAAATTTATTTTTTGACATTTTAACGTTCGAAATTAAACTAAGTTTGTTTACAAAAACTGATGTTTATTGTTTCCTATATGGATATCATTTAAATTATTTTTTTATTCATGTTCGATTTAAAGTTTTGTAATGTACCATTTATAAAATTTACAACAATAAATAAATATTTAAACTTTCACATTGAATTTTATTAAAATTAATTTTTTTTCAATTTTGTTAAAAAATTTTTCCAAAAAATTTTTGTCTTTCAAATATATTTCTTAAAGCAATTTATCCAAAACTTAAATAAAATTTTTTAGAGTTAACGTTTTAATTTGACAACAAATTTATCTCAATTTTAATACATGAGGTGTTTTATAACAGCTTTCCCGTCAACTTTATTTTCAAGGAGTATGACTTGAATTAATTCCATGAAAATTTTATATACATATTTTTCTAGATTAGTTGATTATTATGTTAATTTTCCGGAAAATATATTTCCGGAAAGTTAAATTTATTTTACAAATTATTTTCCGGAAAATATGTTTCCGGAAAGTTAAATTTATTTTACAATTTATTTTCCGGAAAATACTATAATGTCTCCAAAGGGTCTAATTCTACTTGATTTTGTATTACTTATATTTTCCGGAAAGTTATTTCCGGAAGGTTTTGTTAGTAAAAATACACAAAAATATAAAATATTAAAAACAATATAAGGAACAAACACTCACTGCAAACATGATGAAACATGCAACTAAATACGACGAAATATATCGATTCTACGCTCGCCCTCCTTTCATCTAATAGTTTGCCATTGAAAATGCTTATGTATTAGTACATATTATTAGAGATATATCCTGTTTTAGCCCAAAATTTCCCTATTATAAACGTTGAAAAAATTTTGTACTTTAATGCCAAAATGCTAAAATAAATTATTTTTGGATTTTTAAAGATAAAAATAAGATTTCGCCATTTTTTACGTCAATTTTGAAATTATGATAATTTTAATATTTTTTAGAGGAATAAATGGTTACTATTTATTTTTCCGTTTCTGTTCCTTTCCCTGTTTTGGACAACCATTTTGTTTTTGTAACAGGGTCAAGTATAAAACTTGGCAATTGGAAGGCTAATAAAGCTTTAAAATTGAAGAAGGACAAGGACGAGTATTTTTTAATTAAAATAAATTAAAATTTAAATTTTTAAAGTCGTTGGGTTGGAATTATAAAATTGTGTAGTGATCCGATAAATTATACTTATTTTATTGGACACTATATTAAATCTGAACAGACGACTAAAAAAGATGTGGCCGTTTTTCAATGGGAAACATTATTAAAACCTGTAAGTCGTTTATGGAATTTAATATTTATACTAAATAAAAATATTCCGGAAACCTTGGGTAATTTATTAGAGGGAATAAAAATTTTGTACAATTAATATTTACATTCCGGAAAATATTTTTCCGGAAGGCTATTTAATTATATGTAGTTATATGTATATTCCTGAAAATATAAAGTTTCCGGAAAGAACTTTGCGAGAGTAATATGCTATTCCGGAAGATATAATACTTTCAGAGTTTATTCAATTAAAGACGATTAATATATTCCTGAAAAGATTCCGGAATTCCGGAAAATATATAGTAGATTCCGGAAAATATATAGTTTCCGGAAAGCTTATTTTAGCTATGAAATTATTATATTCCGGAAAGGATTTAATTTATATGATTAATATTTACATTCCGGAAAATATATAGTTTCCGGAAAGCTTATTTTAGCTATGAAATTATTATATTCCGGAAAGTATTTAATTTTATACGGTTAATATTTATATTCCGGAAAATATATAGTTTCCGGAAAGATATGAATTATAGGCGCCTAGTACATTCCTGAAAATATTTAACTTATACATATGATTAATATTTGTTTTCCGGTAAATACATATGTATAATGTCTACGGAAAACTAATTAATATTCTTTTATAATAATTACATTTATTATTCATTAAACTTTAAAATTTTTAAATAATTTAGCGTAGTTTGAATTTTTCCCATGTTTTCGGCAACAAACGTGTCAAGTTGCATGATATTTTTGGGGAGGAAGGAGAGGATATAAAATACAATTTTGATCAAGTTTTGCCTGGCGATTCGATGAAATTATGTCAAATAAAGGTTTGAAAAGCGACTTTAAGTTTTCTAATCTATGGGAGATTAATTTTAGTGGAAAAAGGCAAATAGCCTTTAAAAATGTTGTTAGTATGCCTTTGATATATTTAAATGTTAGGTTAATAGTTTGGGGTCGTCCTTCTCTATTAAAAAATTTTTTTTTCATGATTTGAAAAGGGGGAGTATACAAATTTTTAGTTAATATATAAATTCAACCTTAACTCATTTTCCTCATTTTCTACGGCATAAATTTAAATTTTTTTAACCTTTATAACGAAAATATAGATTATTTGTGTGTATATTCATTATAGGGTGCTGTTTACACACAAACTGTTCCGAATTAAACATTATCAATAATTAAACGCTAAGATCAAACTTAACTTTTTCCGGAATTTATTTTTTTCCGGAAATGCTTTAATATATGTAGGCTTCTTAGTTTAATATTTTATTTTTTTCTAACTAAAAATTATTTTGTTTTATAAATAATTTTTAGAGTAATTCAAAAATGGTTAAAAAGCTGAACTTAAAAAGAAGGAGAAAGAATTAAAAAAACGTAAAAGACAAATTACTCACAAAAATAAACAAATTAAAATTTTACAACAACGTGTAACTGAACTTGAGCGAGATAAACAGTCAGATCGGCAATTAATTGAGCGAATGCAAAATGCTAATGATCGAATGCAAAATGCTAATGATGGTTTAACTCAAAGAGTTGAATTTCTAACGAATAGACTTTTAGGATACGAGCCGAGTTTGTGATTTAATAACATAAATATACATAGTGTTACCTTTTTAATCAGAGGATTTTTGATCTTTTATCTACCTAATTATCTTTTCGTTTTCAGATAACCAACAGCAGCAGCAACCGAATAATAACATTGGTGGTGGTAATGAACAAAATCTGCAGCTTCAGCCCATTATAAATAACAACAACCTTGGACAGAATATTCCTGCTGGTGGTGCTTTTGGACAAGTAAAAAGACATTTAATATCATGGGAGCACTAATGAGTGATGGACTTTTTGAGATTTTTCCCATTTATCTCATACCATCTTTACCTTCCATTCATTAACACGGAAGGAACATTTTTTAAAATGCCCATTCCCCAATCTTTGAGATAGTATTATTTTTAATTTTTTAGGAACAGTGGGCAGCAAATGTTGGTAATGTCTTTCCACAACAACCATATGTCACAACCACAATGCCACAAGCGAATGTAAATTTTTGGAAAATTTTGAACTTTTTATGACCCCTTTTTTCTTCCATTTCCATTATATTACTCAGTGTTGTTGGGGTAATACACCCCCTCCCCTCTACACTCCACCACAACAACACCCAACACTTTAAACGACTCCACCCCAGAATTTCGACACCCAAAACCATTTTCGAGCCTCGTATCTCGCCCCACAAGCATTTCCGGGGAAAAGAAAGGGCACCGTTCAACTCAGCACCATTTTTTAACCTATATATGACATTTTAAGCATTAATATAGGGGGTGTAACAAAACGGAAAAGTACCCACGATATTTAGGGTGACGATATTTTGGGTGTCGATATTTAGGAGTGAACCCCTTTAACCATCAACAAAAACCAATTGTTTTCGCTAAATAAATCAGGAATTATATATATGGATGTATAAAGGTACAAAAAGGCATACAAGAGGGTAAATGGGAGGAAAATAAAAATATTGAGTCATACAAAGTTCACAAACATCAAATTTTGCTGCTTAAACCAATTAAAAAATTTTTTTAGAATCCTGTCTCCGTTTTTGTTACACAACAATTTGGTTCTCAAGGCGTTGGAAATGTACATTTTTAATTAAAAAATATTTTTTGTTAAAAATCTATAAATTACTTGATTTTATTTAATTTTAAAACAATAATTAAAAATATTTTTTAGACAGTGACAAATGTCTTTGCTCGACAGGTTACTCAACAAGGAGTCTATAATGTGAATTTTAAAATCAAAAAAAATATTTTTTGCTAAAAATTAGCAAATTTAGATCTATTTTTAGTACTTGTGTAGTTTACGACCCATAAGCCCCGCCTACTTTCTTCTCTTTTTTATACAGAAAGGTAAATGTCTGAAATCAATAAAATTAAAATATTTACCAAGATTTCACGTTTCAAGAAAAGGAAGAGTAAAAAGGGGCGGGGCGTGTGGGACGTAAACTGCACAAGTCCACTTTAACGTTAAACGATTTATCTGATATCCCCTCACTCCCTTTTTAAACGACACAAATGTTTAAAAAAATATTTTTAGACAAATATGCTTGTTGCTCAACAGACAACCTATGCTAGTGGGATAAATTATCAAAATTTGAATCAACCTCACACTGGCTATGTTCAACAACTTAATGTAAAAATTTAATTGACACTTTAAATTTATAGGAGAATTTAAAGCAAGGGTGGTCTAAAAATTGTTCGAAAAAATGTCCTGTATTTTAAAAAAAAAGAGTAAGAAGGGGGCGGGGCGTATGGGACGTAAACTACACTATTCTGCTTTAACGTTCACAATTTATCTAGTAATACTGGCCCTACATATTGACAATTTACTGGATTTACATTTAACCATCATTAATATACCTAAGCAATTTTGAAATATAACAAAAATTTTTAGGTGCCTCCGCAATCAACAAATAATCAAACTATCACTGTTAGAGATGTAAATATTTTTAATTCGATATAATTTTTAATCATGAAAAATATTTTTTTTCAGCCATTTTTGGAAACGTTTGATGCGTATTTTGATGTATCTATTTAAAATTATAATTTTTTAACCTTAAAATTGTGTTCTATTTTAGCCTATGCAACAATTGACCTCTACTAATACTGGCCCTCCATAATGACAATTTACTGGAAGTAAACGTTTCTATTGAATTTTTAAAATTAAAAAAAATTTTTTTAAACAATTAAGTCTTTTTCTTAACGAGTTGATGTGTTGGTTTTGATTTTTAAAAAAATTTATTTCTTAGCCGATGATGTTGATTTATATTTTTGATTTTTATTCTATCCAGTTTTAATTTAATTTTTACACTTTCAAGGAACCATCGTTTATTGTGACTGTGAATTTGATATATTTTTTGGTACCATTCGATAGAGGACCTTCGATTTACTATTGTTGTGTGCGGGTTTTCTTGCAAAATTAGTTTGGGCCATGTTATGGCCGTTCAAATTTAATCTGCTATAGTCGAAAGTTATAGGGTAAATAAATAATTTCTCTCTTACTCATCCTCAATCTATCGAATGGTACCAAAAACTATATCAAATTCGCAGTCACAGTAAACGATGGTTCCGTGTTAGTATATACCTGAGTTGGGTCGGAATTCCGATTTCCGACTTCCAATTTCCGAAAAAAATTTTTTATTTCCGAGTTCCGACTTTTGAGCCAGTTCCGATTTCCGGCTCTTCCGATTTCCGACACCTCAACTGTTCCGACCCACCCTTGGTATATACCTTCTATTCTTAATTTTGGGGGTTTATACTTTTGTTGTATCCTTTCCTAAATCTACTCTTGCAGCTAATCAAAAAATTCTCAAAATTAATTTGCCTTTTCATTTTTGAGTATGTATCTCACTTATATCTGATCTTTCTTCTTATCATTATAACACTTAACTATATTTACAAAAAAAAGTTTTTGATGTGCCATAAATTAAATTATATACATTCTTAAATTTTAAACTTATGCTAATACAATTTTCTTAAAAATTGTTTTTTTTCGTTTTTCACAATATTTTTTAAACTATAATTTACACATGTATTTTAAATATAAAATTGCATAAAAAATATTTTTCTGCTTTAAATAAGTTGATAAATTTATCTTTTGATTTGACAAACAATTTTATACCAACCTTATTCTATTGGGTGAGAGCGGTCACTTTTCATAAAGTAAAGCAGAATTGTAACTACTTTGTATTTCACCTTCGGTTAGTACAAAAGGTTATCTTCAGTTGGACTGATTGATGTGTTATCCATTACACCCACTTGCATAGCTTTAAGAATTAAATTATAAACATGCTTTTACTATTTATTCATAAGAATTATGGTTTGATTTGCTTATTCTATGAATATATTTTTTGCTTAGTTTATTTGATTTTAATCTTAATTTTTTGTAAATATTTTTCTGAAAAGTTAAACTACCTATATTTACTATTTATTTTCTAGCTTGTCCATTCCGTGAGTTGCCTGACACGGAACAAATACACACTCTATATATAAGAAAATAGGAAAAATATACATCGATTTTGCGTTTCTTGCCCTCCATTTCTTCAAAATAATTTTTGCACTAATGTATGATGAAAAGCTTATTTTAGCATTAAAATTAAAGCTTATATTCTTGATATATAAATTCTCAATAAAAATTGAAAATAATCTGAAAATATATTTTGAAGAGTTCCAGACAACTTCGTATATAAAACAATTAAAATCGACCAAATCTTGAAAGGTTTGGGTCATTAACATGTGCTTAAATCATTTTTATCATTTATTTTATGCCTAGTTCAATGAAAATTAGCCTTAAAAGTCACACAATAATTTTAATATTTTTTCAGGAATAAATGGTTATTACTGTTTATTTTTCCGTTTCTGTTCCTTTCCCTGTTTTGGACAAACATTTTGTTTTTGTAACAGGGTCAAGTATAAAACTTGGAAATTTGAAGGTTAATAAAGCTTTAAAATTGAAGAAGGACAAAGACGAGTATTTTTTAATTAAAATAAATAAATTAAAAATTTTTTAAAGTCGTTGGGTTGGAATTATAAAATTGGTTGGTCTTCCAATAAATTATACTTATTTTATTGGATATTATATTAAATCTGAAAAGTCAACTATTAAAAAAGATGTGGCCGTTTTTCAATGGGAAACATCAAAACCTGTAAGTCTCTTGAAGACAAATAAAAATTAATAATAAATAGGTATTCCGGAAACTATAATTTAGTGGAAGTTATATGTATTCCGGAATATATTTTCTATAATTATATAGTATGTTCCGGAAAATATATTTCCGGAAAGTTTACTTCATATTTACAGTCGTGGAAAAAAGTATGGAAGCGCTAGAAAATTTTTTCTTAATTTTTAATTTTTCATTCAAAAAATACGTTCTATATACTAATCGAAAGCTCTATTCGTATCTCAGTTGACATGTTTCTGCATTTTTCATGAAAATGAAAATTGGCCGAGATAATCCGGATCTACCGGATATACCAAATCCCACTTTTTCGGAAAAATTTTTCGGAACAAATTTAACAAACCCAAATGATAAAGCATATTTTTGTGAGCATTTACCACAAAACCGCTTAGAAATATCTTTTTCCGGAGCAGAGATATGATTTTTTGAAAATCGCATTTTTCCCTTAAAAATTGAAATTTTTGCAAAAATTTCAATTTTTAAGGGAAAAATGCGATTTTCAAAAAATCATATCTCTGCTCCGGAAAAAGATATTTCTAAGCGGTTTTGTGGTAAATGCTCACAAAAATATGCTTTATCATTTGGGTTTGTTAAATTTGTTCCGAAAAATTTTTCCGAAAAAGTGGGATTTGGTATATCCGGTAGATCCGGATTATCTCGGCCAATTTTCATTTTCATGAAAAATGCAGAAACATGTCAACTGAGATACGAATAGAGCTTTCGATTGGTATATAGAACGTATTTTTTGAATGAAAAATTAAAAATTAAGAAAAAATTTTCTAGCGCTTCCATACTTTTTTCCACGACTGTATAATATTAAATCTATATTCCGGAAACTTTTTATTCCCATATGATTAATAGTTCGTTTCCGGAAAGTATAATTTTCCGGAAAGTTTACTTAATTTTTATATTATTATATTCCGGAAAGTTTATTTACTATTCTTTGGTGAGGAAGGATAGACATATTTCTATAATTTTCTATTTCCGGAAAAAATGTTTCCGGAAAGTATGATAATTTGATGTTCCGGAAAACTAATTATTTACAATTATTATTCACTAAATTCTATAAAATTCCAAACAATTTAGCGTAGTTTGTTAACTTCCCATGTTCTCGCCAACAAACGCGTCAAGTTGTATAATGTTTTTGGTGAGGAAGGAGATGATATAAAATACAATTTTGATCAAGTTTTGCCTGGCGATTCGTTGGAATTAAGTATAAAAAAGGAAATAGGAGGAGTTAAAGTAGTCGATTTGGATTTAAAAAAGGTCCTTAGTGTTTTATACTAGTAAATTAATTAAAATATCAGAAAAGCAAAACGTCATCAGGGACTCAGCATAAGAAAAAAGACGATATTATTAATGAAAAGAATGATCAGATTAAAGAAAAAAATAGACAAATTCGAACTTTGCGCGGAAGAATTACCCAACTTGAACAAGATAAAAATGCTTTAAAAGATGATAATAAGTATTTAACTCAACAAAATAAGTATCTTACTGATTGCCTCTTAAAGTCTTTGCCTAGTTTGTATTTTAATGAATAATTAAACGAATTTTTAATAATTTTTCTATGAGAGAATTTATTTTTGAAAATTTTTATTTTTTTGTTTTCAGATAATCAGCAACAACCGATTATGGATAATAATTATTATTCTGGTGGGGGTAATAGTGGTAGTTCGTTTTCAAATAATCAACAACGACCGAATATGAATAATAATAATAATTATTATTATTATAATGGTGGGGGTGGTGGTTTTTCTCAAGTTTGGATTTTTTCTAATATCATGAGAGCTCTGATGAATAGTGTGGCTTTTGCGTCCTTCCTTATTTATCTGAAACTGTCTTTACCATCCAATCACTTAATATTAGAAGAAAAACGGATTTTTAAACCTCATATTCTTTAGATTAGTGTAGCTCTTCAGGGTTGGGATCGGGGGTTGCCGGGGTAGAGCTATCGGGATTCGGGTCGGGGGTTTTTGCCAGAAAAAATTAGGGTTGGGACTGAGATCTACCCTACTTTAGATTAGCGTGTGTTGTATATTTATTATTTTTAGGGGCAGAGAGCACCTAATTCTGGTGGTAATTTTTATGGAAATTCAATGCCACAAGCTAATGTGAATTTTTCTTTCCGAAAAATTTTAAACAATTAAAAATTTTTCTAGCCTACAATCTCGGTTTATGTTTCACAAAATACACAAGTTGGAGTACCTGCTTTTGGAAATGTAAATTTTAAATTAACAAATAATTTAGGTAGTATATTTTTGGTACTTGTGTAGTTTACACCCCATAAGCCCCGCCCCTTTCTCTTCATTTTTAGTCAGATTTTCCTTTGTTGGGAGAAAGAAGGGCTAAATAAATGAAAATATTGACCCAACTGTCACTTTATAAGGAAACGAATGTGGGCGGGGCTTATGGGACGTAAACTACACTAATACTCTATTTTTATTCATTTAACTATATTCGCATTCTTTTCTACTTTTAAACGATCGACGATTATAAAATATTTTATAGTCAAATACTGCTCAGGATAACCGTCGCTTTGAAAACGATAATAATCACTGGAAAACAGCATTCGAAAAACAGCAACAATTTTCTCAAGACCTTCTACAGCGTATACCTTGTACGTAGTTGGCCTTTTAGCTCTTTTTTTTATTTAATTTTCCTTTTGTAGACTATACTAATCCTCAACATCAGCAACACAACATGGGTAATAATGCTAGTGTCGGTGTAAGAATTTTTATTTTTAATATTTCGGGTAATTGTGCATGTCGACATTGGCAAATCAGGACAACCCTAGGATATAACACTTCGTAGTCGACAGGACTTGACAAATGCGGGCAAAGCCCAATTATTTGTTATGTCCGACAGTTGTCCAAGATTTGTTGTGCACGAAAGGGGCGGGGCTTATGCGGGTAGGGATATGTGCGCGACGGGATTAAGGCAGGAACAGACAAAGGAGATCAGGGATTAGTCCACAAAAGATTTTTGTGGCATTTTAAACTTTAAAAACTCCTCGATTTATGGAATCCTAGATTTATGGAATTTTAATTTTTAGGGACAGAGAGCTAATGTTGGCAATAATTCATATGAACATGTACCACAGAGAAATGTTAATTTTTGTTTATTATTATTATCTATTTGATTTTTCTAGAATGGCTATGATTCTGTTCCACAACGTACAAATGTGGGAGGTGCTGGCTATGGAAATGTAAATTAAAAAATTTTTTTAAGTTTTCAATCAGTCAATGACAAATCAGTCAATGTTCATAAAATAATTTTTAATTTTCTAGCCCGCTAACACAGCTGTTGATCCTCTATATAATAACAACGCTCAACAACCTAGCTGTAGTTATGGAAACGTAAAATTTTTAACCTGTGATTACACTAATAATTTTTTTAGCCGGCGAATGGCTATGAGTTCAACAAACAAGCTGGTTTTGGTTATGACAATGTAAAATTTTACATTCTGGTCAATTATTAGGATGTATTTATTTAAAATACATCCTAATATAACCCTAATATGAATGGGTAAACCAAGGTCCAGGGTTCACCTTTTTTCTTCTCCAAGTTTTTTCATTTATATGTACAGAATGGTCAGACTTTTTTCCTCACCATCACGAAGGGAAAAGTCACCAGCTCCGTCAATCAGAACCCATGCTAACGTTTTCTTATTAAATCTGCCACAAGGAAATTTGGTAAAATGAAGGAAGGAAAGTTTGACCATTCTGTACATATAAAGGAAAAAATTTTTCTCGGAATAAAAATCCCCCCGTTCGCAACCTTATCAATGTCTTTTTTAAATTAAAATATCAACAATATAAATCTTAATCAGCAATTCCTTTAGCAGTTGACACATAACCAGAATACGCAACAACCCACATTTATTACTGAATATGACCAATTTAATCCACGTAAATCATTTAATTTAAATTTTTTCTAAATTTTCAAATTTTTTTTCAGCCTATTGACGTTTTTTGAAAGAAGGGCTTTTGTTTGTAACAGGAGATTGATTCTTATATACTAGATACTGTACCTCATTTGAAGTACCTCATTTTAAATTATTCTTTCAATTAATTTTTATTCTCATTTAACCAGACTGGTGCACGGATACGGATAATATCCGGATATCCGCGGATACCCGCGGATACGGACGGATATGGATAGTGTTTTTTGAAAAATTGGACGGATACGGATGGATACGGATATGATGCTCCAGATCCGCGGATATCCGTCCCTAATTTCTGCGATTAAACATCACTAAGTAAATTTTAAAAATACATTTTTCAAAGAGAAAATAATTATATTCCCAACGGGAGGAGATAATTGAGTCTTGCACATGACCCCAAACCCAGACCCAAAAGTCAACCACGACTCCGGACCGCGACATACCCACCTCGGCAAACCCTGATACACGACGATCCCGAACCGAATGCTCGGGGAGCCCTACTCAGTGCAAAAATTTTTTAGAATTTTGGAAAGCCAAGAAGCCAGATTCTTCCTTTTTCAGCGCCGCAGGCGAAAATTTTGAGAATTTTAGAAGGCCTTAAGCTAAAAAATTAACTTTTACCTGAGCAACGAAAATTTTCTGAATTTTGAAGGTCCAAAAACCTATACCAGGCTCATAACCATGGAGGGAGGGAGGGTGAATTTCCCATCCCCTCTCAAATGGGGAATAGGGATAAATTTTATGAGGGTATTGGGCAAAAAAGTGAATTTTTTGGCCTATGGCCTTCTAAAATTCTCAAAATTTTCGCCTGCGGCGCTAAAAATGGAAGAAATCTGGCTTCTTGACCTTCCAAAATTCTCAGAATTTTCGCTGGAAATAAAAGAAATTTGGCTTCTTGGCCTTCCAAAATTCTCAAAATTATCGCCTGCGTCACTTCCACATTTCTTACTGAATTATTACAGTGCCTTAGTGTGTTCCGTTAATTACAATACAGTTTTCAACCCATTTTTATAACCATTTTTTATATTTAAATGAACCTGACCATTTTGAAAATTTTAGTCAAGTTGACCGTTTTGAGAAAAAACGGATATATCCGCGGATATCCGCGGATGGATATGACTCAAAAGTTGGACGGATACAAACGGATACGGATATTGACCTAACGGATATATCCGGATACGGATAGCAAAATCCGTATCCATGCACCAGTCTGCATTTAACTATAAAGTTTTGTATTGTGTGGAGAGATCGAACTGTATAGCTAGTACAAGAATCGAAATCTTAAAAAATCTCATCTTTATACTAGAGTTGGTCGAGGTCGAGGCCTTGCTCTGGCCGAGGCCTCGCCCATTTTAGAATCTCGGTCTTGAGTTGATCGACCTCGGGTCTTGAAACCTCGTATCGGTCCTCGCCAAGAACCTTGTCCAGGGCCGAAGCTATACACCCATAAGAATTCCCTTGTAAAAATGGAAGAAATTTAATTATTTGATTTTCAAAAATTTCCAAAATTCAAAAATTTCTATCTGGGAGGGTCGTGCAACAATTGAAATCTCAAAAAATCTCATCTCGATAAACGAGATTTTTGATCGATATCTCGTCTCGGTCCGGTCTCTAATTATTACACTTAACTATATTTATAAAAAAGTTTTATGATGTACTGCCATTAATAATTAAAATTCACATTAATAAATACTTAAATTTTCGTTTGGATTTTATTAAAAATTTTTAAAAATTTTGTTTTATATTTTTAAACTTAATTTGCTTTAAAATTTAAATTAAAAAATTTTTTTGCTTTCTATGAGTCCATGTTTTGATTTAACAACAAATTTATCTCAACTTTCATATGGCGTATTTTCACAGCTTTCCCGTCAACTCGATTCTCAAGAATTATGGCTTGATTTGTTTAGTGATCAAGAGAAAAGTAGTGCTTACAGCCTTAGGTTTAAAAATAAAAAATCAAAGAGAATGTAATTTAAAATGGTTGGGAAAACAAAAAGTAATTGAAAAATGATTGAAGGAGTTCAATAAATTTTTTAAATTATATAACAAACAGGTTTTGATTGATAATATGCTTATAAAATATAAAAATTGTTATGAAGTAAGGGTGGTTACCCTGAAGGTTTTTCTTACCCTAAATCCGAAACCTGATCCGAATAAAATGCTTATGAACACAAATTATAAAAAATGTTTTGATGTTGCTAAATACATATGTATAATAGATCAATATATACCGGTTCCGGTTCCGGTCAAAATTTCGGTTCCGGTGAAACACTAATGTATAACCCACCGGTGATTTTTTCCTAATAAAGATAATAAATGGCCTATAATTTTGCCCGTAAAAGCTTGAAAAATTCCAAAATTATTTTTAAAAATTAAATTTTTAAAAATCTAATAATAAAAAATAAATTTTTTAAGTGTTGCTGAAAAGGATAAATGCTTGCGTCTGTCAGAACCAGGCGCTTATCTCCTCAGATTGCTGGGTAATCGAGGACAGAATGTTAAAAGTATTTTTAATATTGATAAATTTTAACTCGAAAAAATTTTTCCTTGAAGGTTTCCTAGCAAAATTGCATTCATCTGCAAAAATTTATGGTCCAAAAATGGATATACCTCAGTTGATTTTGCATAGAAAATTTTGTAAATTAAAATTTTAAAATTATTAAAGTGTTGGGAAAATATTTTTAAAAATTAGTTTAATTTTCAAAAAATTTTTAGAAAATTTTTTGATGAATTTTTGGACGGAAGAGACTATAGCTTCAAATTTTTTGACAAATTTTTTTTGAAAATATTTTTCGACGTAGGAGACCAGAATTAATTTTTTATTGGTTTAACTCTTAAGATTTTTTTTCAAAACTTTCTCAAAATAATTTTAAAATTTATCAAGACTCGGGGTTATAAAAATAGTGTCTAGGTATTTATCAACTTTTTTCAAAATTATTTTAATATTTCTAAACCAATTATTGTTAATTTTTATAATTAAAATCCAAATTAAAATAAAATTTTTAATCTGCAAAAATGGAAAAATTTTTGCCAAAAAATTTTTTTGAGGAAAAACCCCAAAAAATCCCAAAAAAATCCCAAAAACCGAATTTTTGGACGGGGGACTTTGGACGGATTTAATAATTTAATTAACCAATATTTTTAATTTTTTAATTAAAAAATAAAAATTAAATTCCAAAACTTAAAAAATTTTTTTATTTTTTAATTAAAAAAAGGTCCAGTTATTTGGTCACGTCCAGAACAAATAATTGTTTATATTGATAAATCTGAAGATAATTTATTAGAAAAAAATACTTCGATAGATAAGGATAATTCTTCAATTATTAACCACCACTTACGGTTGCAATGCAAAGCTAGTGGATTTCCAACACCTTTGTATCAGTGGCTAGATGATGATAGAAAATTGGAGGGGGCTAATCAATCCTCTTTAATTATTTTAAGGTTTTTAATTTTAAAATAAAAAAAAATAAATTTCAAAAAATATTTTTTTAAGTCCAAAAAAATATTTTGAGTCACCGAAAAAATCAAAAATAATATTTGATGTTATTTTAGAGGGTTGTTACCTGAATATCTTTGAAAATTTATTTAAAGACTCGAATAAAAATTAATAACTAATTGGCCTATTAAATATTTTTTACTAAATTTATGCCCCATGTTTTTAAATATTGGTCGAGATATTAGTCGAGCTATAAGCTGAACTTTATTGGGATTTGTAAGGTGGAAGCAAGCTGGGACCATTCTGTCAATTAAGCCTAAGAATATATTTAGCATTACTTTCCTTAAAAATAGTTATTGGGTTGATCAGACCTTTAGGTAATAGTACCTTCAACAAACCACACCGGTGTGCCCTCCCTTTGGGGCAAGTGGAAACTGATTTATTGAAGAGATCAAACTATTGCACAATGGAAGTATCTTACAATTTTTTAACTTGAAAAAATTATTTTCCTCAAATATAATACTTAAAATTAAATAGATGCCCATGTACAGCAAGAAATGTTTTTCGATGTAAAGTTTGGAATCAAGTAGAAGAAGGCAAAGAATGGTCAGAATTTTATAGAGCTACAGGAAAAACATTTTATTCTGAATTAATTTCGGATATTGTTGATCTCTCCTCTTTTGCTGTTCCGTTTGCTGGTTTTTTTTTGGAAAATAAAAAAATTTTTACCAGACAAAAATTTTTTCAGACTGTGAAAACTGTTACAAACAAAAAATGGAAGAATTAGCTAAACGTCTAGGTGATGAACACAAACTTGGAAATTCTAATGATAATTTAAATCTACATGAAGATGACCCTATGACAAGTAGAAAAATAAATATATTTTAATTTAAAAATCAGAATTTAATTTGAGTAATAAAACACAAGAATAAGTAAATAAAATACAAAATCAGAATTATTTCAGAATTATTTAAATAAATCACACCAGAATATTTAACTTATAAAAATACAAGTAAAACACAGAAAATCAGAATTATTTGAATAAATCATACCAGAATATTTAATTTACAAAACACAAGTGAAACACAAAAAATCAGAATTTTTGAATAATTTTGAAAATCAGAATTCTGAAAAATAGAAAGTCAGAATAATTTTTAAAAAATTCTGAATTATTCTGAAAATCAAATATTCTGAAAGCAAATATTGATTTTCTGAAAATCAGAATCAGAATAAATCAAATCAGAATAAACAGACTTACATTTTAAATTTTCAGAATAATTAAAATCAGAACATTTAATCAGACCAGAATTATTTTATAAAAACATATTGTTAAAACACAAAAAATACATGTATTTAATTCTAGCAATGGCCCCAGAAGAATTAATAGCATCAGACAAAGTAGCTCTAATAATTTCAAATCGTTCATATTCCCCAAATATGACTAATTTAATTACTCCACATTGTGATGCTGAAACATTAGCAGACGCTCTTCAACAACTTAATTTTAAAACTGTTACTTTGGGGGATTTAAATCTTTCTGAAATGAAACAAATGATTAATGCTTACAAAAAGTTGTTGGGGGAGGGAGTTTATGGTTAATTAATTTAAAAAAATCAGAATTATTAATTTCAGAATTATCTTTCTAAATCAGAATTATTAAATTAAAGGGAAATACAAAAATGAGAATTATTAATAAGAAGGGAAAATACAAAAATCAGAATTATTAATTAAGGGGAAAATACAAAAATCAGAATTATTAAATCAAAAGGAAATACACTCTGTTCCAAAAGTATATGCCCACCTATATTTTTAGCTTTATCCATGTGATATCGCCATAGATTTTTCTCAAATTTTTATGATTAGATACCTTGACATTTTCAAACAAAATACAAAAAAAATTTTTTAAATATTTCCTTTTCTTTATTGTAAAAAGATCAAAATCTAAATATTGAGTGTTCCAAAAGTATATGCCCACCCTCGTTTTATAGGTTTTTAATAGTGGAAAAAATCCACAAAATTTTTTGTTAACATACCTATCAATATAGATAAGAAATACAAAAGAAATTAAGTTCTGATGTACTCCTATCATCGAGATCTTGAAACCCGAAAATCAACGGAAAACCGGGGGTAGACGTCTTTAAAAAATATTTCGACTCCTTATAGGCGAAATAAAAATTTTATTTTGGGCTCATCTGAAAGCCCTTGAAATTTGCTACAAGATAGTTTTTATCTCATAATCTAGAAAAAATTCATTCTTGATATATAATGAGTTTAGTCTATAAGTTACATTTTCATCACTTTTTGGGGGCGTTTGAGTGATTTTTACGACTTGAAATTTTATCACATTTTGTCTTAAAGGTTAATGTTTTTCAAAAAATAAAATTAATGCTATCTTGTAGCAAATTTCAAGGGCTTTCAAATAAGCCCAAATTGAAATTTTTATTTTATCTGAAAGGGGTCGAAAATATGTTTTAAAGTCGTCTACCCCCGGTTTTCCATTGATTTTCGGGTTTCAAGATCTCGATGATGGAAGTACATCAGATCTTCTTTTCTTTTTTATTTCTTATCTATATCGAGAGATATGTTCACAAGAATTTTTGTAGATTTTTCCCTCTATTAGAAACCTATAAAACAAAGGTGGGCATATACTTTTGGAACACCCAATATTTAGATTTTGCTTTTTTACAATAAAGAAAAGCATATATTTTTGTATTTTTTTGTATTCTGTTTCTAAATATCATGGTATTTAATCATAGAAAATTTAAGAAAAATCTATAGCGATATCACATGGATAAAGCTAAAAATATAGGTGGGCATATACTTTTGGAACAGAGTGTACAAAAATCAGAATTTAATTAAGAAAAGGGGGAAATACAAAAATCAGAATTATTAATTAAGGGGAAAATACAAAAATCAGAATTATTAAATCAAAAGGAAATACAAAAATCAGAATTATTAAATTAAAGGAAAATACAAAAATCAGAATTACTAATAAAAAGAAAATACAAAAATCAGAATTTTAATTAAAAGGGGATAATACAAAAATCAGAATTATTAATTAAAATGGGGAAAATACAAGAATCAGAATTACTAATAAAAAAAAATACAAAAATCAGAATTTTAAAATTTTATTCTGTTTTTGTATTTTACTTTTTAGTAATAATTCTGATTTAGTGGTTCCCCTTTTTTCCTAATATTTCTGATTTTATGTGTTTTTAATAATTCTGATTTTGTGTATTTTTTAAATTAAAACCAGAAAATAAACTGGAAACTAAACCAGAAAATATTAATTAAATCAATCTTAATATAATAAAACAGAATTATTTTAATCGAATTAATTTTCTAATCAAAAAAATAAATAAACACAAAATTTTCCTTATTTTCCAGCCATTTTTTATTTTGCTGGTCACGGTTTTGAAGCAAATGGCCAGTGTTATTTACTACCAATCGGCGCCCCTGCAAACGATTATGGCCCTCAAGATTGTCTTAGTATGGATTTGGTGATGAATGAATTTCGTGATTTCCATCCAGCATTAAATTTAATATTGTTGGATATGTGCCGGAGATTTTTACCTTTAAATATCGATGCGTTTGTGGCTTATTCTGAACGGTTTAGACAAGGCGAAATTAAAATTAATAGAAATACTGTTTACGGTAGGAAAATTAAAAAATTCTGATTTTTAAATTAAAATTCTGATTCAAAATTCTGATTTGTAAACTTGAAAATTGATGATTCTGATTTAAATAAACAAAAAATACAAATTCTGATTTTAAAATTAAAATACAAAAATCAGAATTTTTCAGAAAAATCAGAAAACAAGAACTTTTCAGAAAAAAAATCAGAATAAAAAACCAGAATATTTCAGAAAATCAGAAAAAAATTTAAAAAAAAACAGAATAAATAAATCAGAATTTTCTGTCCATCAGAAACTTAAGTTTACAAATCAGAATTTAAATTTCTGATCTACTTAAAATTAAAATTCTGATTTTTAGACTTAAAATTCTGTTGTATTTCAGATTTAAATAAGAAATACATAAATTCTGATTTAATTAAAAAGGTTATGCTACAAGTGAGGGTATCGGCGCCTATGAAGTTAAAGGAGAAATGAACGGTGTTTTTATGAAATATTTGAAGAAACGAATAAAACAGCCTAGGCCATTACTTGATATGTTAAATAAAGTATTTTTAGGTGTGTTTTAAAAATTAAAAAAATATTTTTAAAAATTCAATTAAAGATATAGAAAGAGACCCAAAAGTCAGGGATGTCCAAATCCCAGAGCTTCGTTCAAATTTAACCAAACAACGAACTCTACTCGATCCCTTATGTAAAGATGGGCATACAACCTCATATAATCACCACACATTTCATTGGAGAACAATGCATGGTGTGAAAAATATTTTTTTTTATTTAAAAAATTTTTCAGAAAATCAGGAAAGAATCAGAATAAAAAATCAGAATTTTTCAGAAAAAAAATCAGAATTTCTCAAAAAAACCAGAATTTTTCAGAAAAAATCAGAATTTCTCAAAAAAAACCAGAATTTTTCAGAATCAGAAAATCAGAAAAAAAATCAGAATAGAAAATCAGAATAATTCAGAAAATCAAAAAAATTAAAAAAAATCATTTTTAAATAAATATTTTCTTAAAATCAGAATTGCCTATACCTGTACAAATTGAATTTTCTGAATTAAAATTACAAGTGACTATATGGTTCGATTTTTGTGGGCATTTTACTAATAAAGTAAATAAAAATTTAATTTTAAAAATTTCAGAAAATTTTTTAATCTAAAGGTTTATGTATTTAGTAGTGTTGAAGATTTAATTCCAAAAGATGAAGATTTTCAAGAATTTATGGAAGGGAAAAATAAAGAAGATTTAAATAAAGGAGAAGGTTCTTAATTGAAAATAAGCTGAAAATTAAAAAAAATTTTTTAAAGACGGAAGAATGCTAGTCAGTGATTGTAAAACATGTTCAGAATGGGCATTGTCTCATTTGGCTTATTTGCGCTTTCCTGAGGTGTTTTTGTTTTAATTAAATTCTGATTTTCAGAATTTATAAATAAATACATAGAAATAGAGAATATAATACAAATCAGAATAATTAATTAAAATCAGAATATTTAAATGAAAACAAACCAGAATATTTAATTTAAATAAAATACAATCAGAATTTTAAATAAACTAACAGACTCGCAAAATCAGAATTTAATATAAACAGGAAAATACAAAAATCAGAATTTAGTAAATAAATTATTGGTAGAACAAAACCAGAATTTCATAAAAACATTTATTCAAAAATCAGAATATTTAATAAACTAACAGAAAACACAAAACCAGAATTTAATATAAACAAGAAAATAAAAAAACAGAATATTGAAATACAAAAACAAATAAAAACAGAACCAGAACTTTAAAAATTAGATAAGAGAAAATACAAAAATCAGAATTTATTAAATATGAGAAAATACAAAAAACCAGAATTCTGAATAAATTATTGGAATAAACAAAATCAGAATTCAAACAAAAAAACACAAAAACCAGAATTTATTAAATAATAAAATAATTAAAAATATTTTTAATTAAAAGGAGTTTGAATGTTCCTCTCCAAAAATGTGTAAAGACGATGCTGAGGGTGTTTCTCTCTGTGTCTTGCTTTCACATTTACAAAAAGCAAAGGTTCAAAATATATTTTTTTGCAAAAATTTTTTTTTATTTTAAGGGGAAGCTAACTTGCGTAGTTGAAATAAGGGATAGACAACAAAAATTAATAGCAACAAAAGAAAATCAGTTATTAGGGCATGTTTTGATAACGAGAATAGCAGGAAGGAAATGAAATATTTTTAAAATTTTTCAAATTTAATTTTATTCTAAAATTTTTTAAATTAAAAAAGCCGGTGATTTTTAAATAAATTTTGTAACAGAACTCAACTGTCTTCACTTAAAAATTTTCTTGGCGTTCTGTATTTTTCCTTACTATTTTTTAATTCCCTCTCCATTTCTACTCCCTATCCAAAATTTGTTTTATTAAAATGCAGCATTAATATAAAAGAGAATTTTGCTGGGCAACCCCGTGGGGCTAGATCGTTGCTGAGTACTGCGCCGGACTAGTGTCAGACAAGGAAGTGCTTTGAGGGCAGAGAAAAAGAACTAATTCTTTTCTTCAATGTGCTGGGTCGTCTGTGTGGTGCGGCCCCAATTTCGCCTTTCTGCCAGTCACACCCGACAGCTAGACAGTTGGAGTGTTTTCCCACTCCATTCTTCATAACCTTCCCTCTCATTCCACACACACTAACCCTAGTAGAGAAGAGAAGTGCCTTCTGGCATAAAAATGAGAGTAGAAAGAAGTGTGCGGAGGTGAGACGCACAAAAATGAGTGCTTCGGCATTAAAAAATTTCTTTAGTGAGCCTCGGCTCAACAAAAACCATGATGCGTATGCGCGTCGAAATCACGTTCTCTGACCAGCTGAAAAGCTGAGAAGAATTATGGACACTTCGGTGTGACAAATTTTCTGAAGAAATTGTCTAGCCTGTCGGTGGAGGTATATGGAGGAAAGTGTGACTAGCGCGGAGGTTGGAGGAGAGAGGGAAGTTGAACCTTGCTGATGCTACATTCAAGTCTGCTTGCGGTACGATGAGGCGGGCGGCCCCCCAAATTTTTTTTTTGAAAATTAAAAATGATTTAGAACAGAAAATTATAAATATGAAATTTTATTTTTCATTTAATATACAGTAGTAAATTAAGAATGGGAGCTAGAACAAGAGGGGAAAGTGTTGCGCGAGCCCTTAAACGAGTTAGTATAAAATCAAGCCAATAGTTCCTTGTTCTTGATTCTCTTAATTTTGCATACCAACTTTCATCTTCTTGTATATTTCGACGTGCGATAAGGTTTCTGTTCGTGTTCGTCTACTTTGGCAAATCTCGTGTATTTTTATAAAATTAAAAAACTGGTGATTTTAAAATAAATTTTGAGGGCAGAACTCAACAGCTGGAATTATAAAATTTTCTTGGCGTTCTGTATTTTTTCTTTTCTTATTATTTTTTAATTCCCTCTCCATTTCTACTCCCTATCTAAAATTTGCTTTAATAAAATGCAGCATTAATATAAAAGAGAATTTTTCTGGGCAACCCCGTGGGGTTAGATCGTTGCTGAGTAATGCGCCGGACTAGTGTCAGACAAGGAGGTGCTATGAGGGTAGAGAAAGAATGGGAATTCTCTCCCTCATTGTGCTGGGTCGTCTGTGTGGTGCGGCCCCAATTTCGCCTTTCTACCAGTCACACCCGACAGCTGGATAGGAGTTTCTCCATTCAACTTTGCCTCTCGTTCCACACACACTAAAAAATACAAAAAAAAGAGTGAGGAGAGGAAATGCCTTCTGGCATAAAGATGAGAGTAGAAAGAAGTGTGCGCAGGTGAGACGCACAAAATTCGGTACTTCGGTACATACAAAGAATAAAAAATAACTATGTTGCGTACGCGCTTCAAATCTTGTTCTCTGACCAGCTGAAAAGCTGAGAAGAAAAAAACGCCTAACGGTGTACATACAACGTTGCACAAACAAAAAAACTTAAGAGGAAAGTGTCTAGCCTGTCGGTGGAGGTATATGGAGGAAAGTGTGACTAGGCTGCGGAGGTTGGAGGAGAGAGGGGAATTGAACCTTGCTGATGCTACAAATAAAGTCTGATTGCGGTACGATGAGGCGGGCGGCCCCCCAAAATTTTTTAAAATAATTTTTTAACTTTGATTTTAAAATTGAATAAGATCAGAATGAGAGAGAGAGTAATAGATAGAAAAAAGAGAAAAATAAGAGAATTTTCTAGATATCGAATGAGGGACAACACTCCGTCCAATAATTGTTTCAAATTCACTTAACAGATGACAAACTCTATTAGGATTTTGGTCTATTACTGAGTACTATACAAATTTAAATTTATTTTGTCACACAAAATTCATCTTTCTGCATATACTCAACTAATCTTTTATGAATTTGGCGTTCTGTATTTTTTCCTTACTATCTTTTCCTGTTTTCTCATTCATTTTTGCTCCCCATACAAAATTTATAAAATAAAAATGCACCATTAATATAAAAAGAATTTTTTGTTGCACCCTCGTGGGGCTAAGATCGTTGCTGAGAACTACGCCGGACTAGTGTCAGACAAGGAAGTACATTGTGAGGAGAGAAAAAGAACTGAAGAGTTTGTTCTCTTCCTCGCATTGTGCTGGGTCGTTTGTGTGGAGCGACCCAAGATTTCACTCTATATTTGTCACAGACCACCTTGGGCGGTATGGTGAGCGAAAGCTCATCCGCCATTCCCTTCACTCCCATTCCACACACATCACTCCCCCCGAAAAACACAAACCTGTGCGAAGGCTTAAAAAACCATCACACATGGCTGCTTCGGCAATAAAATGGATTTAAAGAAAGTGTGCAGAGTAAGTTCCTTTCGAGGAAAACCAACCCGTTCCCACCACCTAACTGTCCAGCCGAAAGGCTGAGGAGAAAAAACAACAACAACCTATACGCTGCGGCGTTCACTAACCTTCACCAACCTTCACCTACCCAATCCCCCCTCGAAGGAATGGAGGAATCCGCCAAGTGTGTGTAGGAGGTATTTATGGAGGAATATGTGACTTTGGAGGCTGGAGGCAGAGTGTAAATTGAGCCTTGTGACGCTAAGAATAAAATGTCTGATTGTGGTACGATGAGGCGGGCAGCCCCCCAAATTTTTTGTAGTTGAAAAAATTTTTTTCAAAGATCTAATAAAATATATCACGAAAAAATTAATCTTACTGGGGAAAAAATATATTTGTAATAAATAAAATGCCTGATTGTGGCATAATAAAATGTCGGAAATTTTTGCAAAATCTGTCAAAAAATTTTTCAAAACTCATAAAAATTTTTGAAAGTTTTAGACTTTGATTTTAAACCTATAAATTTATTTTTTTAATATTATTGAACGTGAAAAAATTAAGAAATTAATTTGGTTATAAATTTTCAAAAATTTCTGCGACGCAGGTGGATGAAATAGGAGGATTTATGCCTACGAAGATCTAAAACTATTGCATATATCCCTAAAAATTAGAAATTAGATGTCCTCGACTCTAAAAATTTAAAAAAATTTTAAATTTTTTGAATATTTCTCAGGTACGGTTAAGTACGAGATACAAATCAGTGGTGGGTCGGAATAGTCAGAGGTGTCGGAAATTGGAAAAGCAGGAAATCTGAATTCCGACCCACCTATGATACAAGGTACGAGGCCTAAAATTAAGGTGATACGAGTACGACAAAATTTCAAAATTCCAATACTGCTTATCATAAAACAAGGAATATGAAATCAAATTTTCGAATCAAAAACACTCTTTTAACAATAAATTCTTTATTTTTTATTTTATGGATTTATGTATAAATAATACTTTTTCTTAGAATATTTCTAAAAAATTTTAAGTTAGTTAATGTTTTTCTAAACATTTGCAGCAATAAATACGGGTGTGTGAAAATTTGAAATCTAGTCGCAGCCAACGCATAGTCTCGCTTATTCTATTGTATTTTTGCTTTGTGATAAAACCTTGTTTGTTAGTCAAGTCTCTTCTGTTAGTATCGGAAACACCGTAAGTCGACTCTTGTTAAAACTGAAAATGATAAAGCTCTACAGCTCTTGATAAAACTGAAAGCATTTTGACTTTAAAAAAATAAAAATGACTAAAACATAGCAAAAAGGTTTAGCTATTTTAGAAAGTATATTTAGTCTCAAGTATTTTTGATCAAAACACGAATAAGAATTTAGCCTTTAATCTTTTCCAAAAAAAAACAATTTTTTGGTAATTCACGTGAAATTTTGCAGTTTTATTTAATTTTTTGATAAATACAAAATTAAATTTATTTAGAATTTTTTATTTGCAATTTTTAAATTTTTTTATAGTATTCGAGGGGTTAAACCAAATTTAGAATAGAGTAAGAATAAATTTAGCAAATATAAGAAAAATAAAATTTCACAGAAAGATAATTTACTGACAGAATAATAATTAAATAAAAATTTTTTACTTATAAAATTCCCGGCTAGTGTCCAGATTACGCGTTCAATCTCACCTTTGTCGTCCCAACAACCGTTTTGCATTCAGTGAAAATTTAAGCTTTTATGTTTGTGATCTATGGCGACGTATGTACAAATTCGGGTAACTATTCTGTCTAATCTAATCATTGAACGTGTAAAAGTTGATTGGACATAGCCACATTCCCATCCACTTTTCTCATATTTTAAACAAAATATAGCTACAAATAGACAAAAATTCCCTTAAAAATGGGCAAAATTTCCTAAAAAATTCTCCTAACATGCAAAAAATATTAAATTTGCGTATGTTCTCCGTCTAATATTGTGACTTTCATAGAATATAGAGGTATAATGAATTGGGTATGTGATCGGGCTACCTAAGCCTTAATGAGCTCTTCAGCAAATCCCAATATAGTAAAATCAAAATAGCAACATAAAAGTAACCATTAATTTGTAAAATTTTCACTAAAAATATTGCAAAAACTATCTAATAAGAACTCAATATTAAAAATAATTTAAGGAATGGATGGACCTTTAAGCAACTAAGAGGTTCCTGATAATCCAACAAATTATCCTCTGGCTGATTAATGCTAGGATGCTCCATTCTTATCGTATGGCTGTTCCGCCCGATATCTCTATTATTCTCAGGCGAATTAAGGTGTTGGAGGCATTTCTGCAAAGAGTCTATATAGCGAATTGTCCCATTTACTATATAAAATAATCCTAACTTTATAAGCAAAAGCTAATTTAATTAAAAGGCTGAATAAACATTTTAAATTATTAAATGAATTTTTTGGGTAGTTTGGTGATTTTTTATTTTCAAAATTTGGCCAAATAAATACCAGCAGAATTTACCAATAAAATAAATCCATTGTCAATAAAAATAATTCTTTAAATAAATAAATTTACAAAAAATGACTAAAATTAATTCCATTATTTTCTTAATTTTTTTAATAATTAATTTTATGAATTATTATATAATGGCTGAATTCCGTGATACCGCACCAGGACGTTCACCTGGAGCTGGACATTAAATTGGTGGAAATTGTAATTGAATTTAATTTTTTATTTTAACAAGGGATCCTGTCGATATAAAAAAATAAATTTTCGATTTTAGCATTAGGGAATTCCCAAATTAAATCCTCAAATATCATGAAAAGTAATTATTTGTCGGGAGTTGCATGAGATCCCAGGCTTTACAGAAAAATTTTGGGGTTACATTGTGGGTGGTCTTTGCACATTTTTTTGTCTTTCCTGGACTGTTATACTTCAACTTCAACTTTTTGAATTCTTTGTGTAACAGAGGTCGAGTTTCTCCAAGTCATCCTCCGTTAGTAGTATATAAAATTTAACTGATTAAAGTTGAAGTATACGCAAATCTTCAATTATTTCATAAAAATTAACTATTTATAATTTTAAGCAAAAAATTAAAAAATGTGGCAGAATATGGGGATTTGGAATTTTGGTAAAATATCTTCAACTTTTCTTTAAATACAAAACAAAATTGGGATATTCTTCTTTAAATGATGAAAAATTATTTGGAAAAAAAATTTTTTCAAAACTTTCTTTATTATTTAATTTGTTAATCTTGGAAGAATAAATTGTTATGGGAAATTTTTTTAGAACATTTTTAAAGTGTCTTAACCAGGGTTTTCTTCATTTTGTGGTTTTTTGATAGGTTGTTGAAGATAATCTTAAAGGTAATCCTTAAGATCATTGGTCCCTAGGAAAAAATGCTAAAAAAGTGCTCTTTCGATATTTTTAAGGCTTGCCAGTAGGTAATCGGCTGCGCTGAGTCTGAATCTAAGCTTAGAATTTGTTTATTTCGAACCCTGAATCCGAATTCGACCAAGTCGAATATGGGGCAAAAATTCAAAATTTATGTTTACAGAAGTCTAACCAATCGTGTATTTAATTGATCATAACTCAGTCTAATGTTGTCAAAACACATTAATTTTGATATCATTCGACTCAGCTTGAAGAACGCGTCAGAATAGCACTAGCTAATAGTTTCGAATTCCTACCCCGAATTCGACTTGGTCGAATTCGGGTTCAGCGTTCGAAATAAACAAACAAATTCTAAGCTCAGATTTAGACTCAGCAGAGTCGATTACCTACTTGCAAGCCTTAAAAATATCGAAAGAGCACTTTTTAGCATTTTTTCCTAGGGCCAATGATCTTAAGGATTACCTCTTTAGAAATGCTGATTTGTGGATTTTTATATTCTTCTGAAGATTATGAGGATTTTTTACATTTTTATGTAGTTTTTAGTATTGTCCGGCTAGGCTTTTTTCGTGATCTCCAGATTTTTTCCGACCGAACTAATCCAGAAAAATCCGCGGATCCGGCATAAGCGAGAGAGACTAAACCCGGTTTTTGGGCCCGCAAAATGAGTTTTCCGGACACTGGTTTTTAGAATAGAATGCCATTATTTCTATTATGGGCCCCCCACAATCATTTAAATTTTTCACAGCAAAGCAAAAAATGGAAAAAGTCAAAAGTCATTTTATAAGATGATCACTAGTTCCAATAAAAAATTTCTCAATTAGGTATATTGATGGAGACATAAAATATACCGTATTATCTCTAATAGAATGGCCGTCTCCATTTGAATGGCCCCTTCTAATAGAATGGCCCCCTGGAGGATGATTGAAAAATAGAATGGCCGTCTCCATTTGAATGGCCCGCTTCTAATAGAATGGCCCCCCCTTAATGCCAAAATTTTCCCTTAATAAAATTTTTTTCAAATTTTCACTTGTAGTGCCGGAAATCAGTATAGATCTCAGTGGATTTACAAGATTAAGGTGGATTAGGAGAGATATCGGAGCATTTGTGTCGATAAAGAGAAGGCGGAAGACCGGAAGCCCTCGGAAACCCGGAAGCCAGGAAAAACCGGATTTTATCAAAATACTCGGTTTCCGGGCTACCGGGCCTGGAAAACCCGGTCTCGGGCCCGGGGTCGAGCTCTAATAATAATTCTAAGAGCACAGGTTCATTTAACCTTAAAAATTTTGTAATTTCTTGCTAGAGAACTCAAAAAATTTTCTAAAAATTAATTAAATAACTAATGGGGAGAGGCTATTATTGGGCTCCAGATGTTTACGCTAGATGGCTTGACGTCAACATTTGCGATTGCGGAACTAGCAACTTTTACACCACAAAAATTCGATTGATCGAAGTGCCAATGATGTCGGAAAGTGACAAGACTGGAATAAAAACTGCTCGTTGGTTTGGTGGAATTCTAACTTTGGGTATGTTCATGTTGTGTCCGCACTTGCAGAAAGAACATAAATGAAAATAAATAACCCAACATCGGGTTGGATGGTGGCACAGTCGGTTGTGCTTCGGTCTGGGCTCATTC